TTTTGGTAGAGAGATTTGCTACCCAATAAGAACTCAAAGTACCAAATTTCAGCGAATTCAGTTAAAAAACGCGCTCAAGAACCTCAAAATACCGAAAATTTTGGGGTACCCTTATATGGGAGCTATGCCTAAACGTGGACCGATTTTCTCCAATTTCAATAGGTTTCGTCCTTGGGCCAATTAAGTGACCTGTGCCAAATTTCATCCAAATCGGATCATAAATGTGACCTGTACTTTGTTAACAAAAATACATGGACGGACAGACGGACGGACGGACAGACGGACATGCATAAATCGACTCAGAAAGTGATTCTATGCATATTCTCAAAAGGAACCATGGGTCTATCTCGATTATTTTTGCCTGTTACAAACATATGCACAAAGACATAATACCCTGTACCACAGTGTGGTGAAGGGTATAATAATGCGAAATTTTGAAAATAAAAACCAGTGAGCGGAGCAGTATAGTCGGACGGTGCCGACCATGCGATACCCTACACAACTACCACGAACTCTAACTTTCTGAGGATGTTTATTCCGAGTCTGAGTAATATTTCGTGATATTTGCCCCCTCTTGTCCGATTAGAGGTTAACAACACCTCTTCCATACTTTTTCGAATATTCAGTACAGTCCTTCTAATTACTTGTCCAGATTACCTTCACGGTGGGTTGTGTTGTGATTTTCGGATTATACTCTACTCGAAAACACAAAAAAAATTATGTTTTCGGTCCATTTCATCCCAAAATTTTAATCTGATCATCACCGAAAATTATAGGCGTTGTTCTTGACCATAACTGGAACTTCATGAAAAATTTCAAAGCCATCAGCGCGATATTTCTCCCTCTAATGTGGTAATGGGTTACTAAATAATATCTGAATACGTAAGCACCTGTAAATATTTGACTGTAACTCCCACATCTGAGTAGATACATCACTATATTTGGTATCAATTTAAAGGCCAACCACTCCTCTTGGATGTGCTATCAACTCCTGGGGTCTACATCCTCCAGGAGTAAATATATATGCCATAGAATACAAATTTTGTCATTTTTCACACAAAAGTCAGGGTCCATTTGACCCGCTAAATATTGACCGATCTTTATCAAAACATGCATGCTTATTCTCTGGCCCGATCCCCTTCTCCATGCAAAAATTCGCGGTGTTTGGGCCATAATTGCGGCCTCTGGAGCGACCAGAAAAACCGACAAAAATTTAGTATTTGGTCCATTTCATCCCCTAAATATTAACCGATCTTTTCCAAAAACAATAGGGGTCTTCATTGGCCAGAACCCATCCTACATGCAAAATTTCGTGAAGATTGGTCCATAACTGTGGCCTGTATCGTGTTTACAAATTATAATGGACAGACGGACGGACGGACGGACACACATGTCTAGATCGACTCAGCTAGTCGAGATATGACGATCGGTATACTTAAAGGTGGGTCTAGGACCAATATTTCGCGGCGTTACAAACATTTGGGGCTGCACAAAGCTATAATACCCTGACAACATAGTTGTGTAGGGTATAATGAGAAATTTGTACTGATTCAGAGCCTCCACATATTTATATCCACTTAGCCTATATTGATAACTTATGATAGGAAGAGATTCAAAGTACCCAGTTAGAGCCAATTCGATTGAAAAAACGTGCACGATTTTCCGTAGAAAAACCCAAAGTCCCCGCAATATTGTTTAAAAAAATTCTATACAAAATAAAAATCTTCACAATATCCTTGATTCCACGTTCTAATGGTCTATAGTCATATCCGAATTCGAAGTCTCCCCAAACATTTTTAAAGATAACCATAGTATACACAATATTTTAGAGCCAATTCGATTGAAAAACGTTCACGAAATTCCAAAATTAAGGAGAAGATACTTGATTTGGGGACTACCCTAATCTTGGTCCAATATCGATCATACGTAGATTTTCTATCCAATGAGAATCCAGAAATATACAAATTGAAATTGAAATTGAAATTGAATTGACAAAATCTCCAAATATTTGAAATTTTGGAAATTACCGTAATCTGTGGGCTACCCTAATAAATGCATTGTAATGTGTGTCCAAAATACCACATTTCAGATAATTCATACCACCGAATTATTTGAACAGAATACCGAAAATTTGGCCGTGGGTATGCAAATAAAAGTCTCCACATTCATGTTTTGTGGAGATTTAGATTTTTTCTATTTGCCATATTCCCCTACAAGAGAAAACCATATATCCAAAGGATTTTCTATAGCTAATCAAAGTCTCCACAAGATTTTATAGAGAAAATTATTAAAACTCTCCACACACTTGTGTATACAAAATAAAATTCTCCGCCAAAAAAATAAGTCCCCATAATATTTTCTGGAGAAAATCAAATCTCACGACTTTGTGTAAAAAATCAAAGTCTCCACAAGATTTTCCAATGAAAATTAACGTATCCATATGATTTTCCGCAGAAAATTAAGATCTCCAAAATATTTTCTACAGAAAAGATAAGTCTCCACAAGATTTTTTTGTAGAAAATAGAAGTCTACACTATTTTTTTATTAAAAACTAAGGGTCTTCACAATATTTTCTGTAGAGAGTCAAAACTCTATCAGAATATATACAGAAAGGCAGTATCCAAAATTTAAGTCTCCACAAGGATTTTAAAATAAAAACTAACGTTTTTAAAATTTTTTCTAAAGAAAATCAAAGTCTCCACAATAATTTATGTGGAAAATTTAAAATTTCCTAATGAAAATCTAAGTCTCCACTATTTTTTTTTTATAGAAAACTAATGTATTCAGGAGAGTTTTTAAACGAAATCTAAGTCTTCACAACATTACTGTAGAAAATCAAATTCTACACAAAATTTCCTAGAGAAATTAAAAGTCTCCAAAAGTTTTTTTGTACAAAGACAAACTTTTCACAGGATTTTTTTTTATAAAAAATTTATGTCTGCACTATTTTTATTAAAGTCTCCACAATATTTTCTGTAGAAATTCAAATCTCTACTAGAAATTATGCAGAAAATTAAAGTCTCCGAATGGCTTTCTATAAGAAATCAAAGTCTCCATATAATTTTCTATTTAAAATCAAGGTATCCACACAAATTTCTATAGAAAATCTAAGTCTACACAAGAATTTATATACAAAATCTGACTTTCTTTGGATTATCGAAGTCTCCAAAAGTGTTTCTATATCATATCAATGTCTTCACAGGATTTTCTATAGGAAATCAAAGTTTCCACACAACTTTTAAAATTTGAAATCATTGTCTCCACACAATTTTCTATAGATAATCGAAATCTCCACAATAATTTATATAGAAATTTATATAGAAATATATAAAGTACAAGTCTCCACAAGATTTTCTATAGAAAATCAAAGACTTCAAAAAATTTCTACAGAAAATTAAAGTCTCCAATTGGTTTTCTATACAGAACCAAAGTCTCCACAAAATTTTCTATAGGGAAGCAAAGTCTCCGCACAATTTTCTATAGATATTCGAAGTCTCCACAAAAATATTTACAGATAATCGAAGTCTCCACAATATTTTATATAGAAATTCAAAGTCTCCCCAATTGTTTCTATAGTAAATCAAAGTCTCCAAAAATTTTCGATGGAAAATTAAAGTCTCCGAATGGTTTTCTATAGAGAACTAAAGTCTCCCCAAGATAGTCTATAGGGAATCAAAGTCTCCACAAATTTTTCTATTTAAAATCAAGGTCTCCATACAATTTTCTATAGAAAATCTAAGTCTCCACCATAATTTATATAGAAAATCACTCTTTATATGGAATTTCCAAGTCTCCAAAAGTGTTGCTATATGAAATCAAAGTCTCCACAGGATTTTATATAGGAAATCAAAGTCTACACACAATTTTTATATTTGAAATCATAGTCTCCACACAATTTTCTATTGATTATCGAAGTATACACAATAATTTATATAGAAACTCAAAGTTTCAACAATTATTTCTATGGAAAATAAAGTCTCCACAAGATTTTCTATAGGCAATCAAAGTCTCCACACAATTTTTATATTTAAATTCAATGTCTCCACACAATTTTTATAGAAAATCTAAATCTCCACAACAATTTATATTGAAGATCACTGTTTTTATGGAATTTCCAAGTCTCCAAAAGTGTTTCTATATCAAATCAATGTTTCCAGAAGATTTTCTAAAGGAAGTTCTGCACACAATTTATCTATTTAAACACAATTTTCTAGAGATATTCGAAGTCTGCAAAATAATTTATACAGAAATTCAAAGTTTCCACAATTGTTTCTATGGGAAATCAAAGTCTCCACCCAATTTTTCTATTCAAAATCAATGTCTCCACACAATTTTCTATAGAAAATCTAAGTCTCCACAACAATTTATATAGAAAATCACTATTTCTATGGAATATCCAAGTCTCCACACAATTTTTCTTCTTAAAATCAATGTCTCCACAATATTTTCAATCGAAAATAAAATTTTTCACAAAATTTTAAATAGGAAATAGGAGGCTTCAGATTTTCTCTAAAAAATAAAAGTCTCCACAAGAATCTATATAGAAAATCACTGGAAATCAAAGTTTCCAAACAATTATTCTATTTAAAATCAATGTCTCCACACAATTTTCAATAGAAAATCGAGGTCTCCACAATAATTTATATAGAAATTCAAAGTCTCCATAATCGTTTCTATGGACAATAAAAGTCTACATAAGATTTTGGCATAAAAATCAAAGTGTCCAAAATTTTCTATAGGAAACTAAAATCTCCAAAAGGTTTTCTAATGAAATCCAAAGTCTCCACACAAATGTTTAATGAATATTGAACTCTCCACAAGATTTTCGATATAAAATCAAATTCTTCAAAAAATTGCCTATAGAAAATATTGAACTCCCACAAAGTTCCCTATAGAAAACATTGGTCTCCCACCTGGGCTCTACACATTTTTTCTCTACAGAATACCCAAAAAAGCATGATTGTTTTTGCATCAGAACATTTTTTATTGTTGTTGTATTTTTATTTCGCATTCACTTGACATTCAGCATTATTAGGCCATTCACATCTCAATTTTTGGGAACTAAAATGTAAACCCTTTGGGCAGGACATAATATTAGCTTTATGTTCAAGACAATAAATAAAACGAGTACAATCATAGGGATGGGGTAGGGTGCGATTGGTTTTGAAGGCGGAACATAGAACTGACAGGTCACGAGCCCGCTTGATGTTCAAAGGGGGTTTACGATTGCCAACAACACCAGATGCCAAACCCGCACCTACACTAGGTTCCTTAGGGGTCTTAGGAGCGGCAGTTGTCGATGATGTCGCTTGAATTGGTTTCTTGGTAACCTTCACCTGCATTGCACTTACCGGCAGGGCAATCGTATAGCTACACTTGGCCTTATCAATATCCATGCAACGCCTTTCGGCCAGGTTAAAATGTTTCTGGGGTGGACAAACCCGTCGCACGGCATATTTCTGATAGCAAACATAGTAGAGAGTGCATGATTGTGTTTTACCAAATGCATAGCCGGGTTGAGCCTGGGCACATATATCATTCGCCTCACGATCATTGGAGGCTTCAATTGTGGTGGAACCATTCACATTACATTTGGCATTTAGCGGATGATCACATATCGCCAAATCGGCATTGAATTGATAAAAACTACCACAGGAGGAGGCAATGGCATTACCCTCAACACAAAAATAGAAACCGGAACAGGAACCAGGCATGGCAACCATGACACCATTTTTACCCGAACACAATTCGTTTATGGTGGAATCGTTATTGGCCTAAGGTGTAGAGAAAGGTGTGAACTTATTTGAAATATTTCTTTTGTTGTTGCTGTGGGATTTGAAAAATCACCGTGGAGGATATTCCATTTTACTTACTTCAGCCGCCTGAGCTTCCAGGCCGTATGTGGCCACAATAAGACAAATTATCAACAGCATAGCAGCCATTTTGTAAATCGAAACAGCAGATTTTAAAATGTTATGCTTCGACAGAATGTAGTCAACATTTATAGATGCGATATTTTTGGAATATTTTCATTGTTTACAATGTGAATCAGTTAACCCCTTCCCTACATCGGGGCTGTCTGCCCCTCCATCGATCATTGTGATATTTGGGATGAGACAAAAAACTCATTAATATTTATGTTCCCACCGTTCTTGCCAATGCCAGATAAGCTTATCATTTGGCAACATTCCCCCCATTACAGTTATTCTTATCTGTAACGAAATTGCCAAAATGTAAATGAGGAAGGTATCAGAACAATTTGAAAATCATTGATCAAACGAATTTTTCATTTATTGGCATACCAGCGAAAATTTTATCTATTTTTGCGAACATTTTTTTTTAATTGCCGAAAAAAATACAGATTTTTTACCTTGATCATTTGTATGTTTACTGGTATTCCGCAGCGATGGTTGACTAGACAGATATGTACCTCCTCAGGGCAGATATCTGAATGGTGTGGCTAATTTGAGAACGTCTAGACTTTATAATTGAAATCTGAAAAGAAAAGGAAAAGTGATTATCATCTAAACAATGAGTTGACTAAACAACTGTTAGCTGGGGAAATATAAACACATAAAGTGTAGCATACTTTTAGGGGTTAAGTTAATAAGAATGGTTTTATAAATGATTGCCAAATTATGATAGCCAAAATGGAACGGCTAAAGCTAAAATCTTGAAAATGTATACGAGGACCGGTGTTGTTGATGATTCGTACTAAACGGTACTAAAACGGTACTTTATTTTGTACTAAAAAAACAAGAGGTAAAATGTCCATGACAGAGATTTCTACTTCTCCTAACATGCTTGGTATTGAAAATGGGGATATATCGGTCCATGTTATGTTAGAAACCCCCTCGTATAACGGTATCCCCAAATATTCCGTATTTTAGGGATTTTTGATTTTTGCAGTTTTGAGTTTTCATTGGGTATCAAGAAATAAAAAGGAAACGAAATAGACACATGGTTCCTTTTGAGAATATGCATAGAATCACATTCTGAGTCGATTTATGCCGTCCGTCCGTCTGTCCATGTTAAATTGTAAACAAAGTGCAGGTCGCATTTATGATCCGAATTCGATGAAATTTGGCATAGCTCACTTATTTGCCCCAAGGACGAACCTTATTGAAATTGGGAAAAATCGGTTCAGATTTAGATATAGCTGGTGTACCAAAGTCCCTATATATCTTTCGATTTGCACGAAATTTGGCACAGCCTACTGAAATAAGTCTAAAATGATGTCTGCCAAGTTTCGTGAAAATCGGTTCAGATTTATATATAGCTCCCATATATAGCTTCGCCCGATTTTAGGTAAATAGTCCACTGAAGTCCCTGACAATCTTTTGATTTGGACGAAATTTGGCACAGTGTAATGAATAAGGTCTAGAATGATGTCTGCCAAGTTTCGTGAAAATCGGTTCAGATTTAGATATAGCTACCATATATAGCTCGGTTCAGATTTAGATATAGCTACCATATATAGCATCGTCCGATTTTAGGTGAATAGTCCACTAAAGTCCCTGACAATCTTTTGATTTGCACAAGTTTTGGCATAGCGTCCTGAATAAAGTCTAGAATGATGTGTGCAAAGTTTCGTGACAATCGGTTCAGATTTAGATATAGCTCCCATATATATTTTCGTCCGATTTAATGCAAATTGTGTAAAAAAGTCCCTATGTATCTTTCGATTTGCACGAAATTTGGCACAGCGTACTGAAATAAGTCAAAAATTACGTGTGTAAAGTTTCGTGAAAATCGGTTCAGATTTAGATATAGCTCCCATATATAGTTTCGCCCGATTTTAGGCAGTTGGTGCACTAACTTTCCTGGAAATCTTTTCATTTGCACGAATTTTTGTCATAGCGTACTGAATTAAGGCTAGAATGACGTGTGCTAATTTCCGTGAAAATCGGTTCAGATTTAGATATAGCTTCCATATATATTTTCGTCCGATTTTATGTAATTAGTGCACCAAAGTCCCTATATATCTTTCGATTTGCACGAATTTTGGTATAGGGTACTGAATTAAGTCTAGAATGATGTGTGCTAAGCTTCGTGAAAAGATCCATAGCTAGGCCGATTGACACAACGTACTGATGTAGTATAAATTAGTCTCTGGCAAGTTTCCCTGAAATCGGTTCAAATATAGATATATAACAAAAACGGATCGTCTGTTAGGATACATATGTAGAATATACCCAAAGTGGTGAAGCGTATCATATAGTCGGCCCTGTCCGACTTTACTACTTTCCTTACTGGTTTTGAATATATATGGGAGCTGTATCTAAATCAGTCCCAAACTCTACAATGTCAAATCATATTCAAAATCAAACACCACCAACAATCACTATTTATGTCCTGGACCTTTCTACTGATTTTCCCAACCCTATTTCTCTTGATGATGTCAATACGATCATAGAGGGCCTTTTCCTACACCTAACAAAGGAACCCGGGTTATTTCGCCTTGGTCAGGAAAGCTTCCGACTCATTCCCTCTGATTAACACAGAGTCCTCCAAATCAGTCTTCGAAGATGATGAGAAAGGACGGAACCCCTGACGAGGATGCAGGTGTCATGCAGTGAAGCTTTGAGACTTCTGCGACAACTGGCCGTTGGAGTAAAGATTGGTGACTTGATGATCTTCCCATCGAAATGATGGATGAAAAAAAAAAACTACCAAACGTTTCGCTGTCAACAAAATCTCTGGCAAAAAGATTTACGGGAGAGCGATCAATTTCTACAACCGGTTCATTGAAAGGAACAGGGACACTATAACCGATAAGGAACTCCTTCTGATTAAGAGGAGCGATCAAAATCGATTCGGAAGTTTTTTTCTCAGAACTATGACATTGCAAAGAATTTCTCAATCAAAAGAATTCCTACGTTGAATGTGAAGGCGACCCGAAAGGAAGAGAACACTGGATCCATCTTTTCACATAGCTGCCAGAGGTCAACCTATTGGAGAGATTTACTATATAAAGAATATCTTTTGCGGATCGAAGACCTTGACATTTAAATCCTGTTTTAAAAATATATAGTTTTTATATAGGATTCACTATTTATTTGAATTAATTGTGGTTTGTAATATGAGTCATAATAATATGACGCTTAAATTTCCAAAGTGGTTATAGAGACTGTCTAACTTTTTCCAGATGCTAAATGTTTTCTCGATATCCCATATATATTTCTAGGAAATTTATAGATATAATCCCCTTTTGATGATGTGCTTTACACATGGAAGTACTTTTGAGAGCAATATATTTTTTTATAAATAAAAATAAATATTTAGAGTTCTATAGATGTTTTCAGAATTATCAATTTGTGTAATGTCAAGTGGAAACACCTTGCTAACAACTTGTTCAGATAAACAAAAAAACTAACAATGTCCAGCAACAATGACGTAAAATCGGCATGCCAATTGAGATAGCAAAATTACAAAGTCTAAAAAAGTTAATCATACACAAAAAAATCACACACACCCATATCGATTCAAAATAGAAATTTCTTTTCGCCGAAGCCATTGTGCACCCGAAATAATTAGTTTTAATTTTTTCGTGATACCCCTTTATCGATAAAAAAATCAAAACCAACAACAACAACAATTTCGATTAAATAGTTATTTTCGTTTTTATTATTTTGAATACCTATATTCTATACAAAAATCGCAATCGTTTTATTTTATTTCATTATATACAAGTTTAAATAGGTGGGAGGGGAGAAGGGGATCTCCGTTTTACGATTGCAGGTGATCACAGGTCTGCAATGTTTCATTGAATGCCGTACCTGGCGAACACAACATTGCAATTTCACACTCACACTGACACACAATATAACCGTTAGTGCTGGGATTGGCGAACAGAGTGCCGTCCGGTTGGCCGGTACAGCGACCGCCGTTGTAGCATGTGGTGCCCGAGGGACCGGTGGAGGGACCATCGCCGCCACTACCACTGCCAGAACCGCTGCCGCCACCATTTCCGCCGCCAGAGCCGCTGTCACCACCAGTACCGCCTCCGTTTCCGGAACCGCCACCATTTCCACCGCCAGTGCCGCCACCATTATCTCCGCCGGTACCACCGCCAGTACCGCCACCATTTCCACCGCCAGCACCGCCAGTACCGCCACCATTTCCACCGCCATTACCTCCGCCGGAACCTTCGGAACCGCCACCATTCGAGATATGATCACATACCTGCCACTGTTCATTGTAGGCCGTTCCGGGAGCACAAGGCATTGCATATTCACATCCATGGACACACACGATATATCCAGTTGAATTTGGATCCGCCAGCATAGTTCCATCGGGTTTTCCAACACAACGACCGGCATCGGAGCAGTTGACACCACCGTTTTCACCGCCATTGCCACCGCTGGAACCGCCACCAGAACCACCATTACCACCACCGGTGCCGCCACCAGTTTCTCCGCCAGAACCGCCACCACTTCCTCCGCCAGTACTACCGCCATTATCGCCACCGTTACCTCCGCCGGTACCGCCACCGTTTTCTCCGCCGGTTTCGCCACCATTTCCTCCGCCGGTACCGCCTCCATTACCTCCGCCAGTACTACCGCCATTATCGCCACCGGTACCGCCTCCATTTCCTCCGCCAGTACCGCCACCATTTCCTCCGCCGGTGCCGCCTCCATTACCTCCGCCAGTACCACCGCCATTATCACCACCATTACCTCCGCCAGTACCGCCTCCACTACCTCCGCCAGTACCGCTTCCATTTTCGCCACCAGAACCGCCTCCATTACCTCCGCCAGTACCACCGCCATTATCGCCTCCATTACCTTCGCCAGTACCGCTTCCATTATCGCCACCATTACCACCAGAACCGCCACCATTACCAATATGATCGCAAATTTGCTTTTCCTCATTGAAGGCTGTTCCAGTAGGACAAGGCATTAAATATTCACATCCATGGACGCAGACAATATAACCAGTAGAGTTTGGATCCGCAAGCATAGATCCATCGGGTACTCCGACACAACGATTGGCATCAGAACATTGACCTGGGGAACCGCCTCCATTTTCTCCGCCATTACCACCGCCAGTACCGCCACCACTACCTCCGCCGGTTCCACCACCATTTTCTCCACCGGTACCGCCTCCAGTACCGCCACCATTTTCTCCACCGGTACCGTTATCGCCACCATTACCTCCGCCAGTACCGCCACCATTACCTCCGCCGGTACTGCCACCATTTTCACCGCCAGTACCGCCACCGGTACCACCACCGTTACCTCCGCCTGTACCGCCACCATTACCTCCGCCAGTACCGCCACCATTTTCGCCACCGGTACCGCCACCATTTTCGCCACCGGTACCACCGCCATTGCAGCCACCATCAGTACCTTCAGTACCGCCGCCAGAACCGCCACCATTTCCACCTTCAGTACCGCCGCCAGAACCGCCACCATTACCACCTTCAGTACCACTTCCGCCACCATTTCCACCTTCAGTACCACTTCCGCCACCATTTCCATTGCCGATATGATCACAAATCTGTTTATCAGCATTGTAGGCCGTACCGGGAGCACAAGGCATTTCATATGCACATCCATGAACGCAGACAATATAACCCGTTGAATTTGGATCCGCTAGCATTGTGCCATCCGGGATTCCGGCGCAACGACCAGTATCTGAGCAATCGCCAGGGGTTGGAGAAGGCGATGGGCCAGGTGCTGGGCCTGGTGATGGAGATGGGCCAGGTGCTGGTGAGGGAGATGGGCCAGGTGCTGGTGATGGAGATGGACCAGGCGCTGGGCCAGGCGATGGAGATGGGCCAGGCGATGGAGCGGGTTCTCCTTCGCCACAGCAACATTGGGTTTGCTCATTGAAAGCCGTTCCCGGTGGGCATACCATTCGCTTTTCACAGCCATCTTGACACTCAATATAACCGGTGCCATCCTTTAATAGGGTACCATCGGGTTTACCCACACAGCGACCAGTATCGGAAGAGGAACACGATGGGCCAGGGTTTGGCGTTGTTGTTTCACATTTTTGTGTAACTTCGTTAAATTCCGAACCAGATGGGCAGGTCTTAGGTACTTCACAGCCATCGACGCATTCTATGTAGCCATTGGAATTGCTACCGGGGAGCAAGGTTCCATTAGGCTTTCCTACACATTTGCCGGTATCTGTAGCGGAACATGAGGGTCCAGGGTTTGGCGTTGTTGTTTCACATTCTTGTGTGTCTTCATTAAATTCGGATCCCGCTGGACATGTCTTGGGTACTTCACAGCCATCGACGCATTCTATGTAGCCATTGGAATTGCTACCGGGGAGCAAGGTTCCATTAGGCTTTCCTACACATTTGCCGGTATCTGTAGCGGAACATGAGGGTCCAGGGTTTGGCGTTGTTGTTTCACATTCTTGTGTGTCTTCATTAAATTCCGAACCCGATGGGCAGGTCTTGGGTACTTCACAGCCATCCACACATTCTATGTAGCCGTTGGAATTGCTACCGGGAAGCAAGGTTCCATTAGGTTTTCCTAAACATTTGCCGGTATCTGTAGCGGAACATGAGGGTCCAGGGTTTGGCGTTGTTGTTTCACATTTTTGTGTATCTTCATTAAATTCGGATCCCGCTGGGCAGGTTTCGGGTACTTCACAGCCATCCACACATTCTATGTAGCCGTTGGAATTGCTACCGGGAAGCAGGGTTCCATTAGGTTTTCCTACACATTTGCCGGTATCTGTAGCGGAACATGAGGGTCCAGGGTTTGGCGTTGTTGTTTCACATTTTTGTGTGTCTTCATTAAATTCAGATCCCGCTGGACATTTCTTGGGTACTTCACAGCCATCGACACATTCTATGTAGCCGTTGGAATTGCTACCCGGAAGTAAGGTGCCATTCGGTTTACCTACACATTTATCAGTATCTGTAGCAGGGCACGAGGGTCCAGGGTTTGGCGTTGTTGTTTCACATTTTTGTGTATCTTCATTAAATTCAGATCCCGCTGGGCAGGTTTCGGGTACTTCACAGCCATCGACACATTCTATGTAGCCGTTGGAATTGCTACCGGGAAGCAAGGTTCCATTGGGTTTACCAACACATTTACCAGTATCTGTAGCAGGGCAAGAGGGTCCAGGGTTTGGCGTTGTTGATTCACATTTTTGTGTGTCTTCGTTAAATTCGGATCCCGCTGGGCAGGTTTGGAGTACTTCACAGCCATCAACACATTCTATGTAGCCGTTCGAATTGCTACCGGGAAGCAAGGTTCCATTAGGTTTTCCTACACATTTGCCGGTATCTGAGGCAGGGCACGATGGGCCAGGATTTGGAGTTGTAGTTTCACACTTTTGCGTAACTTCGTTGAATTCCGAACCCGATGGACAGGTCTTGGGTACCTCACAACCATCGACACATTCCACGTAGCCGTTCGAGGTGCTTCCTGGAAGCAAGGTACCATTGGGCATTCCTATACATTCGCCGGTGTCTGAAGAAGGGCAAGAAGGTCCAGGGGTTGGCGTTGTTGGTTGACATTTTTGTAACTCCTCATTAAATTCTGATCCTGTTGGACATGTTCCTGCCACTTCACAACCATCGACACATTCCACGTAGTCGTTCGGGGAGTTGCCAGGAAGTAAGGTACCATTGGGTTTACCCACACATTTACCAGTATCTGTAGGAGGGCACGAGGGTCCTGGAGTTTCACATTTTTGCGTAACTTCGTTAAATTCGGTACCCGTTGGACAGGTCCTGGATACTTCACAGCCATCAACACATTCTACGTAGCCGTTAGAATTGCTACCGGGTAGCAGGGTACCATTGGGTTTGCCAACACATTTTCCGGTATCCGAAGCGGAACATGAGGGTCCTGGAGTTGGTGTTGTTGATTCACATTTTTGCGTAACTTCGTTAAATTCGGTTCCAGTTGGGCATGTCTTCGGTACTTCACAGCCATCGACACATTCTACGTAGCCATTGGAATTACTACTGGGAAGCAGGGTACCGTTGGGTTTACCCACACATTTTCCAGTATCTGAGGCAGAACACGAGGGTCCTGGAGTTGGAGTTGTTGATTCACATTTTTGCGTATCTTCGTTAAATTCTGTACCCGCTGGACAGCTCCTCGCTACTTCACAGCCATCAACACATTCTACGTAGCCGTTAGAATTGCTACCGGGTAGCAGGGTACCATTGGGTTTGCCCACACATTTACCAGTATCTGAAGCAGGGCACGATGGGCCGGGGCCGGGGCCGGGGGTTGTTGCTTCACATTTTTGCGTATCTTCATTAAATTCCGTACCCACTGGACAGCTCCTTGCCACTTCACATCCATTGACACATTCCACATAGCCATTGGGAGAGTTACCCGCAATTAGAACACCATTAGGTTTACCCACACATTTACCAGTATCTGTAGCCGAACATTTCTCACCCGGTCCCTGCTCCTCTTCACACCTCAAGGTATTCTCATCGAAGGCGGTACCCGACGGACATGCCATTATCTGTTCACAGCCATACACACATTGAATATAACCATTCGAATTTGGATCGGGAAGTAGAGAACCATCTGGTTTTCCCACACACAGACCTGTATCGCTGCTCGGACATGTCTGACCACCCGGTGATGGACCACCAATGTGTTCACATGTTTGTAAATCCTCATTAAAGGCGGTGCCCGGGGCACAGGGCATGGCAATTTCACATTCACACTGACACACAATGTAGCCATTGGAATTGGGATCGGCAAATAGGGTACCATCGGGCATACCATCACACTTGCCGTTGTTCAGGCAAGTGGTACCCGAGGGTCCTGTGTGCTCACCATTGGCAGCGGTGTTCTGGGTACCACTCAATGTCACACAGCCGGCATGTTCCTGTAGATCACAAATCAAGAGTTGCCGATTGAAATGCAGACCCATGGGACAGGTCATAATATGGGAAATCGATCCGCCATTGCAGATTAAATATTGTCGACAATCCAAGGGGTCTGGCAAAAGGGTGCCATCCAATTCCCGATGGCAAATATCCACAGCTTCTAGAAGGCCAGCACAGAGGCCCACTATTAGTAGACACGTTAAGATCGCTGTGTAGAAGGGGAAAAAGTAATTCCACATTTATTGGCCATAATTCTCGCCGGGTAACCGCACAAAACCTACCTTTTTCTCTCATCGCTTTCTAAGTTGCTAGCGATGCTCCAAAATTTCCGAATTTCGTTGTTTTTTTTTGTTTTTGGAGTTCCGCCTTTTCCGTTCAAACGACAAATATTAACTAGCTTGGCCATTTGATTAATACACTTCTTATATTCCTGCGGAACCTTATCGTCTGACAATTGTCTCATAATAATTGACAATTGATAATAAATATTTTGTTGTGTGTTAGAAAATACAACAACAAGAACGACTAACTAAAAAAGTGATTTTTTTGCAACAGCATTGCAAAGTTAGTGGATCTACAAAGCACCGAACATTTTTATCATTTAATTACGTTCGAAGTATTCAGCCATTATCTAAGTTCTGCCAGTGCTTCTTTCTTTTTTTTGGCACCTGTCGACACACACACACATATGTGTGTATGTGTTAGAATATATATGTCTCTGGGTAAAGAGATAGAGGCACGTACCCTCTCGATATTACAACGTCAAGCAATTGTTTGAGGAAGTGGGAAATTGGAATGAATGACTGGGCCTACAACTAATTTGCAGGCGGACAACCATTTATTTCCCATTGAGAAGAGCATTCTGAAGAGCATAATTCTCTCGTTCACTATTTTTATTGCTTATCAATATTTTGTCCATTTTTTCTGATTTTCTATAAATAAAAAAAATGTATAGATTATCTGGTAATTCCTGGAATAAAAGGTATTCAGTGGAGAATCGAAAAGTGAAGGTATTATTTCGGATTAAAAAAAAAAAGTAATAATATTCCGAACAATATTTTAAAAAAAAATCCACGACTGAACCGATTTTTACGAAATTTAACACTCATCACTCTGGACCTAATTCAGTACCCTGTGCCAAATTTTGCGTAAATCTAAAAATATATAGGGACCTTGGTGCACTATTAACATAAAATCGGACGAAACTATACATGGGAGCTATATCTAAATCTGATCCTATTTTCACGAAACTTACCACACATCATTTTGGACCTAATTCAGTACCCTGTGCCAAATTTCGTGCAAATCGAAAGATATATAGGGACCTTGGTGACCTATTTACCTTAAATCGGACGAAAATATATACGGGAGCTATATCTAAATCTGAACCGATTTTCACGAAACTTAGCACACAACATTCTGGACTTAATTCAGTACCCTGTGCCAACTTTCGTGCAAATCGAAAGATATATAGGGACCTTGGTGCACAATTTACAATTAATTCGACGAAACAATATATGGGAGCTATATCAAAATCTAATCCGATTTTCACGAAACTTAGCACACATTATTCTGGACCTAATTCAGTACCCTATGCCAAATTTTTTGAAAATCGAAATATATATAGGAACCTTGGTGCACAATTTACATAAAATCGAATGAATATATATATGGGAGCTATATCTGTATCAGAACCGATTTTTACGAAATTTAACACTCATCACTGTGGACCTAATTCAGTATCCTGTGCAAAATTTCGTGCAAATCGAAAGATATATAGGGACTTTGGTGCACCATTTACATAAAATCGGACGAAAATATGTATCGGAGCTATATCTATATCTGAACTGATATTCACAAAACTTAACATACGTCATTCTGGACCTAATTCAGTACCCTATGAAAAATTTCGTGCAAATCGAAAGATATATAGGGACTTTAACGCACGGACGAACCTATATACGGATGCTATATCTAAAGCTGATCCTATTTTCACAAAACTTGGCACATATCATTCTGGACCTAATTCAGTGCCCTACGAAATTGAAAGATATATAGGGACTTTGGTGCACTATTTACATATAATCTGACGATATCTGAACCGATTTTCACGAAACTTAGCACACATCATTTTGGACCTCATTCAGTACCCTGTGCCAAATTTCGTGCAAATCGAAAGATATATAGGGACTTTGGTGACCCATTTACCAAAAATCGGGCGAAACTTTATATAGGAGCTATATCTAAATCTCTACCGATTTTCACGGAACTTAGCACACATCATTCTGGATCTAATTCAGTACCCTATGCAAAATTTCGTGCAAATCGAAAGATATATAGGGTCTTTGGTGCACAATTTACATAAAATCTATGTACGGGAGCTATATCTAAATCTGATCCGATTTTCTTCAATTTCAATAGGGTTCGTCCTTGGGCCAAATAAGTGACTTGTGCCAAATTTCATCCAATTTGGATAATTATTATACATTTTTTTTAAATCCAGGCTCCCATTTTTTTCAGATTCCCATAAGGCGCGGATTTTTTAAAAATTATTTTTTTTTCAGATTCTCATAGGGCGTGGATTTTTTAAAACTTATTTTTTTCAGATTTCCATAAGGCGGGGATTTTTTAATTTTTTTTCCGATTACCATAGGGCGTGGATTTTTTAAAAATTATTTTTTTTTTCAGATTCCCATAGGGCATGGATTTTTTAAAAATTATTTTTTTTTTTCAGAATCCCATAGGGCATGGATTTTTTTAAAAATTATTTTTTTTTCAGATTCCCATAGGACATGGATTTTTTAAAAAATATTTTTTTAAACTAGAATATTCCAGAATACTTGTCCATTAACCTTGGGCCCCAATTTTTTGCATTCCATTTTGTTTACTCTTCTATTTGTGAAAAAAATGGTTCTCCCAAATATTTCTATCAAAATAATAGCTAATCAATATTTTATCAATATCTGCTAACAAGTATTCAGACTTTTCGGTATTATAAATAATTCAATATTGCTGATATTTATTTTTTGTTATTTTTCAGACACGGGAAGTACTTGAAAATGAAAGTTTTGTGACAGGTAATGATTTATTACCTGCACCACTGCTGCTACCATATTGAAAATTGTACTGTCAAATCGTTTCTAATTACTGCCATAAAATATTGCAATTATTAGAATATTGAAAGCTAATTGAATAATCAACATTGGCAACATTGTTAGATGGTATATTTTATATGCATTAAGAGGCGTCATTTTGAATATAATTGCTTATAAATATGGGTTTGTTTAATAAATGCAGCTAAGCTGAATTGAAGTTTTTCTATTGGAAATCAAAATTAGGCTGTCAGAATGTAAAATTTATTATTGAAACCCATATTCAGCTGGGCTGAATTAAAGATTTCCTATAGAAAATCTTATTCAGCCAAGCTGAATTGAAGATTTTGTGCAGAAATCGTTATTCAGCTGTGCTGAATTAAAAATTTTCTACATAAATCGTTATTCAGCGCAGCTGAATTGAAGATATAATATAAAAATACATATTCAGCTGGGTTGAATTGAAGAGTTCTTTTAGAAATCGGTTTTCAGCTGGGCTGAATAATAGATTTTGTATAGAAAATCGTATTCAGCCAGGATGAAAGGAAGATTTTCTTGTAGAAATCGTTATTCAGCTGTGCTGAATTTAAGAATTCTTACATAAATCGTTATTCAGCGCAGCTGAATTGAAGATTTCATATAAAAAGCCTTATTGAGCCAGTTTTAATTGAAGATTTCTTGTAGGACTCGATATTCAGCCGTGCTGAATTAAAGATTTCTTACATAAATCGTTATTCAGCGCTGTTGAATTGAAGATTTCATATAAAAAACCATATTCAGCCAGTTTTAATTGAACATTTATTATCGAAATCGTTATTCAGCCAAACTGAATTGAAGAATTCATATAAAATATAATATTCAGCCAGTTTGAATTAAAGATTTCTTTTAGAAATCGTTATTCAGCTGGGTTGAATTTAAGATTTCTTACATAAATCGTTATCATATAAAAAACCATATTCAGCCAGTTTGAATTGAAGTTTTCTTTTAAAAATCGTTATTCAGCTGTGCTGAATTAAAGGCTGAAGAATAGATTTCTTATAGAAATCGTTATTCAGCCAAGCTGAATTGAAGATTTCTTGTAGAAATCGTTAATCAGCTGGGCTGAATTAAAGATTTCAACTAGAAAATCTTATTTAGCCAGTCTAAATTAAAGATTTATTGTAGAATTAGTTATTCAGCTAAGCTGAATTGAAAAATTCTTATAGAAATCATTATTCAGCCAAGCTGATTTGAAGATTTCTTTTAGAAGTCGTTATTCAGCCGTGCTGAATTAAAGATTTCTTACATAAATCGTTATTCAGCGCAGCTGAATTGAAGGTTTCATATAAAAAGCCATATTCAGCAGGTTTTAGTAGAAGATTTTTTACAAATCATTATTCAGTTGGCCTGAATTAAATAGTTCCTATAGAAAACCTTAGTCAATCAAGCAGAATTCAAATTTCTCCTAGAAAATCATATTCAGCCAAGTTGAATCAAATTTCTACAGAAAATCACATTCAGCCGGGCTGAATTACAAATTTCCCCATTAAAAAAATTATATTCAGTTGGGCTGAATTAAATAAAACCCCATGTTTTTTCCTAAATATGTAATATTTATTTCATTTGATTGCTTGTTTTTTATCTAATCTTTTTATGCTGCACCGCGACGTGGACTGCGACCACCTCTAGCGGGGACATCACGCCTACCCATAAAGGGGTTGAAAAAACCAAGTCCACCACGAACTGGACCTTCGGCACCACGTCCTGGACCTTTTCCGCCACGTCCTGGACCTTTACCGCCACGACCTGGACCTTTTCCGCCACGTCCTGGATGACCTCTGTGGCCATGGTGACCACGGTGTCCATGATGATAACCGTGATGGGGACGATGACCAAAGCAAGGTTTCTTTGTGGTGGTTCCATCCTCAACCATAGGGAGTGTGGTTGTTTCTACCACCACATTACCCTCTGTGGTAGTTCCAACATCATCTAAAGGAGGAACAACGGTTGTTTCATCGGCGACATTTGGATCGGTGACCTCAACAATATCTTCAGCTTGAACCTGCGAATAACCTCCCAATAAAACGAGGGCGAAAATTGTCCAAAGTAATTTCATTTTTAGTTTCTATTTTCTTTTTCCGAACTTTCTATTAGAAGCTGTTAAAAGTGGATTAATTTCTTCTGCAGGCTACTGCGGGGGTTTTATACCAAAACAAAAAACCTTCAATAAATAAAATTATGGCGCGCGTGGAGAATTGAAAAAAGAACTATCAACACGGACCTCGAAAAATAGCAGCATTGTTTATTTGAAGTCTGTTTTAAATCTGTATAGAACCGCTTGCGTTTGAAAAAAAATGTGGTAGTTGTCAAACAAAAGCGATCATGTTTATGTTCAAACAAATATTTTTTCCCGCTCGGCTGAATTGACAAAATCGTTAAATAAACTTCCGAAACGTATTTGCGAATAGTAGAATTTCGGAACATCGTCATTCAGCTTAGCTGAATATGGTTTATTGTTGTTGTCCAAAAATATATTTTTTGATTTTTTTTTAAACTACGCCTTATGGTCAAGCTTGAGAATACGCATAGAATCACTTTCTGAGTCGATTTATGAGTGTCCGTCTGTCCGTCCGTCCATATATTTTTGTGAACAAAGTACAGGTTCCATTTATGATCCGATTTGGATGAAATTTGGCACATGTCAATTATTTGGCCTAAGGAATAACCCTATTGAAATTGGTTCAGAATTAGATATAGCTCTCATATATATTTTCGTCCGATTTTAAGTAAATAGTGCACCAAAGTCCCTATATATCCTTCCATTTGCACGAAAATTGGCATAGCGTACTGAACTGAGACTAGAATGATGAGTGGTTAGTTTTAAGAAAATCGGTGCAGATTTAAATATAGCTCCCACATATAGTTTCGTCCGATTTTATGTAAATGGTGCACCAAAGTCCCTATATATCTTTCGATTTCCACGAAATTTGGCATAGCGTACTGAATTAAGTCTAGAACGACGTGTGTTAACTTTCATGAATATCGGTTCAGATTTAGATATAGCTCTCATATATAATTTCGTCCGATTTAAGGTAAATGGTGTACCAAAGTCCCTTAATATCTTTTGGTTTGCACGAAATTTGGCACAGCGTAATGAAATAGGTATAGAATGATGTGTCTTCAGTTTCCTGAAAATCGGTTCAGATTTAGATATAGCTCCCATATATAGTTTCGTCCGATTTCATTTAAATGGTGCACCAAGCATCTAACATTGGTCCGATTGAGACAAAATTTTGCACAAAGTACTGAATTAGGTCTAGATTGATGTATGCGAAGTTTTGTTGGAATCGGTTCAGATTCAGATATAGTTTCGTCCGATTTTATCTAAATGGAGCACCATGCTTCCAATATTGGTTCGATTGACTCAAAATTTTGCACAGCGTACTGAATTAGGCCCAGATTGATGTATGCCAAGTTTTGTTGAAATCGGTTCAGATTTGGATATAGCTCCCATATATAGTTTCGTCCGATTTTATCTAAATGGAGCACCATACTGCCAATAGCTCCCATAGTTTCCTGTCATATATAGTCCGATTTTGTGTAAGTGGAGCACAATACTGCCGATATTAGTCCGATTAAGACAATAATGTTGATATAGATATTGTATATATGAGCATGCTTGTATGTATCCAAAGTGGTGAAGGTTATCATCTAGTCGGCCCCGTCGACTTTTGAACTTTCCTTACTGGTTTTTCTTTCACACACCCCAAGAGCTGCCTCATCAGCTAGCGCAAGTACCCATGCTTCAGATCCATATAAGTGTGAGTGCAAAGTATGAGTTTGGTCTGGCGGGAGGTGGCCTTGTTCCTAAACTGCTTACATAGACCATAGTAGCATCTGTTGGCCATCACTTTTCTTTTCCGAATTTCAAAACTAATGTCATTCGATTTATTTATGGCGCTACCAAGGTATATAAAATCATTAACTACCTCGAAGCTGTAGTTCTCAAGTTCCACAGTTTGTCCGAGTCTACTGGACTTCTTGCGCGTTGATACCAACAGCTTAGTCTTCTCGCCGTTTACAGCCAGACCCACTTTGTCAAACCCATTTCTCAATTTGTTCAAAGGTGACTGTTACCGCTCGCAATGTTCAACCCATTATATCGATGTCATCGCTGGCGTAGGCATGTAACATGTGTTGTTTGGTGTACAGAGTGCCATTTCTGTTCACCTTTGCCTCTCGTATGACCTTTTCCAGCAGGATGTTAAAAGGTCACACGATACGTCTGTCACCTTGTCTGAATCCTCGTTCGATATTAAAGGGTTCCGAGAGGTCATTTCCGACTTTAACTGCTGACCTTGTGCCACTTAAAGTTATCCTGCATAGCCGAATTAATTTTTCCAGGAATGCCAAACGAAGACATGGCTTTAAACACCTCTGAACGGATAGGGCTGTCAAATGCGGCTTCATAGTCGACGAATAGGTGGTATGTGTCGATGTGGGTCTTTTCCAGGATTTGGCGCAGAGTGAAAATCTGGTCAATTGTGGATTTGTACTAATCAGCTGGTGCCTGCTCCTGACCAGCATCTGACCACCAGTCTTGCATAGTTCGGCTGGTAACCCATCAGCTCCTGCTGCTTTATTGTTCTTGAGCCGATTAATTGCTACTCTGACCTCATCTTGGCTAGGTGGTATACACTCTATTCCATCATCTCTTATTGGTTTTGAGGTATCTTCTTCACCGCCACTATTTGATACCAGAAGTTTTCCAAACTGTTTCTTCCAGATCCTCAGCATGCTGTCTGTATCTGTCACCATGTTTACTTCTTCATCTCTACAGGGGGGTGTGCCTGCACCAAAATCTTCGGTTTCTAGTTCTACTCGTTGGTAAAATTTCCGGACTTTATTCTGACTCCTGCACGCTCACGTTTTTCTTGTTCTTTCTTCTTTTTTTTCTGAAAATACGTTTCTCCTCTCCTCTTTTCTCCCGATAATTCTCCATTACATTACTGTCACCAGGTTTTTTTCACATCAGTATCTTTACCACACTTCTAATCGTACCATGGATTTCTTGATGGTGGTTTTTGGTACCCAAGGTTTGCTTTTGCTGCAGTTTGTAGGGAGTGGGCAATTCTTTGCCATTGTGCTTCTATACTATTATCGGGATAAGAAGTGCTTTCGTCAAGCAGTTGGGTAAGTTGAGCGCTGTAGGCCTCGGCTACCTGTTGTGTTTGCAGCTTTTCGACGTCGAGTTTCCGTATTGTGTTAGATCGCACCTTTGCCAGATAGCACCATTAAGGCGGGAGCCTACCTTTGCTGCCACAAGGTAATGGTCCGAATCGATATTCGCTCCACGGATCGATCGAATGTCTAATACACTGGATGAATGCCTTCCGTCTGTCACAACATGATCAATTTGATTTCTCGTTGCTTGATCAGGAGAAATCCAGGTGGCCTTGTGTGTATCAAGATGATTGAATCTGGTGCTGCTAACTACCATGTTTTTGCCGCCGCGAAGTCAATCAACCTCATGCCGTTGTCGGATGTTTCTTCATGAAGGCTGAATTTTTCGACGGTGCGGCCAAAGATATTTTCCCTTTCGAGTTTTACATTAAAATCTCCTAGCAGAATTTTAATATCATGGCCAGGTCAGGGATCATATGATGTTTCTAGGCGCTCGTAAAATATATCTTTGGTCTGGTCATCTCTGTCTTCGGTCGGAGCATGGGCGCAAATGAGACTGATGTAGAAGAATTTCGTTTTTATACGGATTATAGCAATTCGTTCATCTACTGTCGTGAATCTGGGGACGAGGTCTTTTATTCTCCTGTTAAGCATAAATCCGCAGCCAAATTCATGTCTCGTTTCATGACAGCTATAATACAGTGCGTAATCGTCTTATTTCCTTACGCCTGTCCCTTTCCATCGCATTTCCTGTAGGGCAATAATATCGGTTTTGTACTTCAAAGCCGATATTATCGCCGAAGCGGGAACTGCGCCTGTTCTGTACAACGTGCGCACACTCCAAGTGCAGATTCGCAGATCGTGGTCCTTTATACGTTTGCGGGGATCGTCAACATTAGGGGGGTTCGGTTTTCTTTTTCTTTGATTTTTCGTAGTAGGAGGGGTTTTCCGAGTGTGGGCAACCAACCCGACGACTCAACCCATTTTTATAGTTCTTATGGGAGAACTCGCGGCACATATTAGCTCACTATTTCAACGGGTGATGAAAAATAGCTACCCCAGGTGACACCGCGAGGAGGTCAGTGTCCACAATTGCGATGAAAGAGGGACCAAGATAAGCATGGACTTCGCCAAGTTAATGACAAGCAGAGCCGTTGCTTGGTATCTTTAACCCCTACGCCACCCAACATTTTTGAGGCCACCAACATTTTATTTTATAAAGTACTGATTTATTGATCTGCAGAAATTACCTTTAAGTTATTGATTGCCTGTCTACCCTCCATCGTTTTATTTTTCCTTATCTTAATTTCTTTATATCTTAACCCCCTCAAAATAAACATTTTTTATCTATGGCGATAAACTGCATTTGTTTTTTAATTTATTAATAATAAAAAAAATATTGTTTTTGTTTATGTGCATGATTGTAAACAACAAAAATGAAAAAATCGAAATCGGAAAATTCTTAACAATATTACTCAACTACATTGGCATTGGCCAGGGGTGCATCATTGCGGACACAGAAACGATCACAGGTCTTTAATTTATCATTCCACAACAATTGATCGGGACATTTGTGTATAAAGGCCAGGCCATTGCATTGTATGAATTTACGGCAATCCTGCGGATAGGGTAAATAAATGTGGCCCTGACCCAAACACCATGAGGCACACTCCGTGCATTCCTCCACAGCATTGGGATCAGTTGCTGCTGGCGGTGGTGGTGGTGGGACAGTAGGGGCAGTGGGTATAACCGGAGGATATGTTGTGGCTGGTGGCATTACCGGTTCAAAGGGACACTGGGCCAGTTGGGGCAAATCACAGTGCTGCTTGTAGGAATTCCAATAGTAATTTGGTGGACATGTTTGTGCTTCACACTTATAATAACGGCTGCAATCATTTGGATACAGTTGATAGTAGATATTTCTGGCATCATTATTTCCTGGCCTGGGGATGTCAGGGGTGGGTTGAACACAGCTAACACGTTCGGGATAATCACATAATTGATTCAGCGGATTCCATAAATAATTTCCCGGACATTGTTCCAAATAGGCCATACCATTTTGACAGCTATAATATTTTGAACAGTCTTGAGGATAGGCTAGCAAAATTGGCCTATAAGGATCATCGATTTTGGGGCATTGAGGGTGGGGAAAGGGCCGCTCCAAGGAGGAAATCTAAAAGGGAGCAGATAATATATTAAGATTTTTAATATTTAAAAATAAAAAATTCCAACTTACCTCAGTGGCCTTGGCGAGGCCACCCAGGGCCATTAAAATCATCAATATTTTATACGCGATCATTCCGACTTCTTTCTTTCAATTATTCTACCCTTTAAACCAGCTGCTTTCGCTGTGACTGGAAACTGTGACTTCTCTCACCCAAGTCTTGGCCTTTTATATAGTTGAGGAATTCCGATTAAGTGGCTAGTTACCTTGAATCCGTTCAACCACATTATTTTGTCCTTTTATTTAACTTGGGAATTTTTCATTTTATCTCTTTCTTTTCGAAAACATTATTGGAATTCTGTAATAAGATTGATTTTGTGTTATCTCATGTAAGTTTACATTTGGGTTTGAAGATATCCGCTATGCGGAATACACACAGGGGATAATTGTCGATGATAAGATTGATGGTTGGGTATGGCAATAACAATTTGTTCTACAATAAAATAAATATTAACCAGTACCCTTCACCACTTTGGATATATTCAACAGATGAATCCTAACAGACGTCACATTTTTGAAGGACCAGTAAACTGAAATTGAATCTATAAACATGTCATTCTGCAACCTATACTAAATTTTTCATTTGGTCAGATATAGAGTTGCTTCTTACAAGGGGATAAAATTATGTATCCTAGTTCATACGATAGCTATACTCTCACAGAGAATCGTCCCAAAATTTGAAATCGATTGGGTGATAAGTTTTTGAGTTATCGTGCCCGCCATTCGCAAAAAGGCAGTTTGGAGAAAAACGCGATTAAAGTTTGAGAAGTCCTCTTGCTGTCACTTGATGCTAACACAATAAATCGACTATATCTTCAAAAATTGTTGAAATTTTCACTTGAAAATTTATAGAGACATTCTTGAATTAGCGTAGATTCGAATTAAATCAAAATAAGAATTAAATTTATTGAAACGGGGAATGGTTGGGATCCCCTTAAAGCAAATATGAATAGGACACCCGATGATTAAATCGGACGAAAATATATATAGGAGCTATATCTAAATCTGAACCGATTTGCAAGAAATTCAACACACATCATTCTCGACCTAATTCATTACGCTGTGCCAAATTTCGTGCAAATCGAAAAATATAAAGGGTCTTTGGTGCACCAATTACTTTAAATCGGACGAAAACATATATGGGAGCTATATCTAAATCTGAACCGATTTTCAGGAAACTTAACACACATCATTCTAGACTTAATTCAGTGCGCTGTGTCAAATTTCGTACAAATCGAAGGATATATAGGGTGTTTGGTGCACCATTTACCTTAAATCGGACGAAAATATATATGGGAGCTATATCTAAATCTGAACCGATTTTCACGGAACTTAACACACATCATTCTAGACTTAATTCAGTACGCTATGCCAAATTTCGTGCAAATCGAAAGATATATAGGGTGTTTGGTGCACCATTTACCTTAAATCGGACGAAAATATATATGGGAGCTATATCTAAATCTGAACCGATTTTCACCAAACTTAACACACATCATTCTATACCTTATTCATTCGCTGTGCAAAATTTCGTGGAAATCGAAGGATATATAGGGCCTTTGGTGCACCATTTACCTTAAATCGGACGAAAATATATATGGGAGCTATAACTAAATATCTAGACTTAATTCAGTACGATGTGCCAAATTTCGTGCAAATATAAATACATATAGGGACTATGGTGCACCATTTACCTTAAATCGGACGAAAATATATATGGGAGTTATATATAATTCTGAACCGATTATCACGGAATTTAGCACACATCATTCTAGACTTAATTCAGTACCCCAGGCAAAATTTCGTACAAACCGAAATATATATAGGAACTTTGTTGCACCATTTACCTTAAATCGGACGAAAACATATATGGGAGCTATATCTAAATCTGAACCGATTTTCAGGAAACTTAACACACATCATTCTAGACTTAATTCAGTACCCCAGGCAAAATTTCGTGCAAATCGAAAGATATATAGGGTGTTTGGTGCTCCATTTGCCTTAAATCGGACGAAAACATATATGGGATCTATATGTAAACCTGAACCGATTTTCAGGAAACTTAACACACATCTTTCTAGACTTAATTCATTGCGCTGTGCCAAATTTCGTGCAAATCGAAAGATATATAGGGACTTTGGTACACCATTTACCTTAAATCGGACGAAAATATATATGGGAGCTATATATAATTCCGAACCGATTTTCACGAAACTTTGCACACATCATTCTAGACCTAAATCATTAGGCTGTACCAAATTTCGTGCAAATCGAATGATATATAGGGACCGTTTACATTAAATCTGAAATATATATATATATATATATATATATATGGGAGCTATATCAAAATCTGAACCGCTTTTCCCATTTTCAATAGGGATCGTCCTTGGGCGAAATAAGTGATCTGTGCCAAATTTCATCCTATTCGGATAATAAATGCGACCTGTACTTTGTTTACAATTTAACATGGACAGACAGACGGACGGACGGACATGCATAAATCGACTTAGAAAGTGATTCTATGCATATTCTCAAAAGGAACCATGTGTCTATTTCGTTTCCTTTTGCCTGTTACAAACATATGCACAAAGACATAATACCCTGTACCACAGTGTGGTGAAGGATATAAAAATAGTTTTTAAAATATTTTAAAAAAATCGCCACCTTATGTGAACTTGAAAAAATCGTTTTTAACAAATCCACGCCTTAGGTAGGTGGGTAGGTATTTGTCAAAAATTCTTTTTTAACAAATCCATGACTTACGTAAAGTTGAAGAAATATTTTTTAAAAAATCCAAAAATAAAAAATTTAAATTTTTAGGTTTTGTATTCAGAATTTTATTGTTTTATTCTGTTGCATGTGTGTTTGTTTTTTGTTTGTTGTTTTTCATTTTGTTTTGTATTTAATATTAGGTTTATAAAAAAAATTACATACATCTACACTAATAAACTTAAATATGTATATATTCACTTTTGTTTATTTATTCAAATTCTTTTTTTTAATTTAGTTATTATGCACCAGCAAAAAAATAAACAAAATATATTTAGGTATATTCAGAAAAATTCACAAAGATAGTTTAATACAAAAATCCAATTCCGAAAAAAAGATTCAATAAATATTTCAATAAAAATAAAATAGAGCATAATTTAATTGTGAAATATATGGGACTTCATGGTTACGAAAAAATAAATGTTTTCAAAATCCAAGACTATAGAAATTAGCTATCTTATAAATAAATAAAAAAGAAAACAGATATTAAATGCCATATAGAAAAATATAAAATGATTTCAATTTGCAATTTCAAACCGAACTGTGCTGTATGCCGCCACACACTTAACGAAATTGTGCTAGATGTAATGGACAACATCTATATGATTTTTTTTTGTATTGTGTTGTAATTTTAATTCATTTTATTTTCTTGTATATTTTCGGCCAACTAGTTTTTATGAATAATTTCAATTTTATATTTTTGAATATTGATTTATTTTTTGTTTTCTTTTGAGATAATTTTCATTTTTCGTTTTTTGATTTAGATTCTTCTCTCCTTCGACACATAACTGCAATTTGTGGATTTACTTCTTCATTTCAATTCAAAATCGTATCTAAATATAGGTTTTATAAATCTATAGATAAACTTGTATTTTGTTTTTGTTTTTAATTTTGAAAATATAGATTTTTTTTCCTTTTTGTGGTTGTTGGTTGTTTTTATATAAACTTTTGTTGTTGTTTTTGTATAACTAATAAAAGGAACAGTTATTTGTTTTTTTTTTTGCAATTTTCCTGCTACAGTGCATTGGATTTGCGGTCTGGATTTTTATGGTCCATAGAGATATTTACGCTTTTGATCTTCTATGTAATCCTGGGTGGACATTTGTATTGCTCGTTGTAACATTTCCGATTCAGTAAGTTGGCCAAAATCTAGAAAAAAAAATAGACAAAATATTAAAACCATAAAAAAATATTTTTTAAAAAATCTCCAACTCATGTTCCTGATGACTTTTTTCTATAGAAAAGAATTGTGCTCAGGGTCCTGATGATTTTTTTTATAGAAAAATTGTCCTCAGGCTCCTGAGGAGTTTCTTTCTATAAAAAAATTGTCCTGAGGAATTTTTTCTACAGAAAAAAATTATCCTAAGCGTTCTGAGGATTTTTTTCCAGGGTCCTGAGGAATTTTTTTATACCCTTCACCACACTGTGGTACAGGGTTTTATGTCTTTCTGCATATGTTTGTAAAATGCAAAAGGAATCGAGATAGACCCATGGTTCCTTTTAAGAATATGCATAGAAAATAAATATCTCTCGAATTAATCCTAGTACTGAATTAATCCTAGAATGATGTGTGCTAAGTTTCGTGAAAGTCGGTCCAGATTTAGATATAGCTCCCATATATATTTTTGTCCGATTTAAGGTAAATGGGGGACCAAAGTCCCTAAATATCTCTCGATTTGCATGAAATTTGGAAAAACGTACTGAATTAAGCCTTGCATGATGTGTGCTATGTTTCGAGAAAATAGGTTCAGATTTTGATATACCTATATATCCTCCGATTTGCACCAAATTTGGCATAGCGTACTAAATTGAGATTAGAATGATGTGTGGTAAGTTTCGGAAAAATCGGTTCATATTCTGATATAGCTCCCATATATATTTTCGTCCGATTTAATGTAAATGGTATATCAAAATCCCTATATGTCTTTCGATTTGCACGAAATTTGGCACAACGTACTGAATTAAGCCTAGAATGATGTGTGTAAAGTTTCCTTAACATCGGTTTTGATTTAGATATAGCTCCCATATATATTTTCCTCCGATTTAATGTAAATGGTGCACCAAAGTCAATATATATATTTCGATTTGCACGAAATTTGGCATAGCGTAATGAATTGAGTCTAGAATGATGCGTGGCATGTTTCGGGAAAATCGGTTCAGATTTTCCATATATATATATATTCAGATTTCCCATATATATATTTTTGTCCGATTTTAGGTAAAAGTGCGCCAAAGACCCTATATATTCTTCGATTTACACGAAATTTGGCATAGCGTTCTGAATTGAGTCTAGAATGATGGGTGCTCGTGAAAATCGAAATGATGTGATCTAAGTTTCTTGAAAATCGGTTCAGAGTTAGATATAACCCTATATATTTCGTCCGATTTAATGTAAATGGTGCACCAAAGACCTTATATATCGTGAAGATCCGTTCAGATTTAGATTTACCTTCACTTGCATACGAAGCCTCTAATAGTTCCTGATAGAAATTACTTGTGGTTTCTTCTTTCGCTCTAGCCGATGTTGTCGTTGATGATGATGATGAGGCAGCCGAGGTAGACAATGCAGTGACAGAGGCAGTGCTCTTTTCTTTGTCCGGAGAATGAGATTGTTTAGAGGTGCAGGGTTTTTGTTGTTCATAGTCGGGTGTCATCGATCTGTTGCATGTATCATATTTGGGACTTTTATGAGGTAGAGAGGGATTATTACAACTATCCGCATTTGTCTGTTGATCTCGTCTACGTTTCTTGCCCTGTTTTGTGTTTGACAATTTTGATTTGCATTTTTTACTCCTAGACTTCGTTGAAGAGGGCGAACAATTACCACCACCTCCTGTTGAACTAGTACTACTTATATCTGTATCATCACTATCATAACCCATTTCCTCCGTCTTCTTTGTGGCCATCAAATGTTTGGGTGAAGAACCACAGGAGGTGGCAAATTTATGCTCCAAATTTTGATTTGTGTTCTCTGCAATTTGTGGCTGTGCCAACGACGACGAGGATGAGGAACATGCTGTGACTGTACTATTATTACCCATACCACGTTGGCTATTGGCATACTTTGATGGTGAAGCCTCACAATCGGATGCTGCCTGCCCTGATGTCACTGTGGCCGATGTTGAGGCTGTATTTGCTGTTTGATTTCTGGTTTTCTGTAAATTCTCACGACACCACTGCAGATAAGATTCTCGTGCTATTTGTTCCTCGATGGCTTCATTGGTTGCTTCCCAATCTGTGGTCTTAAGTTTATCCTCAAACATTGTCTGTTCAATTTCCAATTGTTCGCTAAGGCGTACAGCTTCTTTTGTTTGTAGTTCGGGTTTATAACCAGCTAAACCTAGACCTACACCCACTGTAGCATTATATGGATCCAAAATGGCATTATAATGTGAGCCTCGTTGATAAGATAAACGTAATGGGGCATAGCCATTATTCAGTTGTTCCGAATTGAAAATATTTATGGGAGCTAAAAACAAGAGAGAGGATTTATTAAAGATTCTGGTAGAGGAATTTGGGGAGATACTTACTTGGCTTATAGCAATAGACCTCAACAGGACGACTATAAATTTCCGACATGGCCTGAATTTCAATGTGATTGCCATGGGACTCCTTACGTCGTTTGCGTTTTATATAGTTGTTTATGTCCTCGGTGACAAAATGGCTGAAGTATTCACGATTTTTGTACTAGAAAGAAGCAGAGAGAAATTAAAAATTTTTTCCTATCGAAAAAGTCTTCTTCAGGTCCTAAGCATATTTTTTTTATAGAAAAAATATCCTCAGGGTACTGACGGATTTTTTATAGAAAAAGTCACCCTCAGGATACTGACGGATTTTTTTCTATAGAAAAAGTCATCCTCAGGGTCATGACGGATTTTTTTTTCTATAGAAAAAGTGACCCTCACTTTTTCTACTGATACTGGATATTGACGGATTTTTTTCTATAGAAAAAGTGACTCTCACGGTCCTGACGGATTTTTTTTTTTTCTATAGAAAAAGTGACCCTCAGGGTCGTGACGGATTTTTTTTTATAGAAAAAGTGACCCTCATGGTCCTGACGGATTTTTTTCTATAGAAAAAAGTATTCCTCAGGGGGTCCTGAGCAATTTTTTTCTATAGAAAAAAATGCATCAGTGGTACTGACGAATTTTTTTTCTATAGAAAAAAATTTCCTCAGTGGTCTTGAGCAATTTTTTTCTATATAGAAAAGCCTTCCTCAGGGATCCTGAGCAAATTTTTTTTTAATATTTTTCTGTGTAACACTCACAATATAATCCATTGTATGCTGCCGTATGACATCATGCATCTCTTCATCACCATAGATCTGCAAAGATATGGCCCGAAACAGGCAGGCACCATCCTCTTCGACCTGTTTCAAAATATAACCACGATCAGCCATACATTTGGCAAATTGTTCATCTTTACGCTGCCATTCATCGGCCGTTGTCTTCGCCTCGGCTGGCTGTAAGTGCTCATCGCCTGAATTATAACCCGAAAAGGTATCTTCAATAGCTTTCAAGAGGCCACTGGCAGCCTGGGCCACAGTTGATGCTTGAGAACCCGATGTATGATGTTCTGGAGAATTATTACCCCCCACGGGAGATGCATGAGAAATTGCATTATTGGCCGTGGATGAATTGACACCCGTTATCGAAGAGGAACTTGTACCAGCAATACCTGCCACACCACTGACACCCACACCGCCAACCGAACCTCCACTGACACCAGCACCATGAGGACTATTACACTTGGGCACCAAATTGTGTTTATCCGACACCCTTTCACGTTTGTGATGATGATGTTCGGCCAAGTGATCACGTCGCTTATTGCGATTCGTTTTGTGGGGACTACGACGATGCCGAGTTAGATCATCATAGACATCTACTCTACGCTGGGGGCTCTGTAATGGGGGAAAAGGGAGAGGGGGAAACAAAAAACAAAAATATTAGAAATTTTGTTCTTCACCGATAAGTACCGACCTGTCCATGGTTATCTATTACCACATTACGATGAGAATGAACATTGGACCCGCGATTCGATGATGAGGCTGCATCTCCCACATTGGACACGGTGTGGGTGTCCTTTTTGTCACCATCGGCTCCACCAGCGGACGCAGTATTACCCGTACGTTTTTGGGGTGCAGCAACTACAGGTTTTATGGTCATATTTCCTATCAGCTGTTAGTTCGTTCCACTTCCTTGTTTCGTTGTTTCTGTGGTTGATGATGAGGAGCTATCTTCTGTGTATCTATGCTGTTCGCTGTGGCTCTCCCTCTCTGCCAACAATGACGCAGATCTGAGTCGTAGATGCAATCGTTGTTTCTTTCTTACCACTAGAGAGTAGTACGACGGCCACCACCACCACTCGTCGTCGCTGTCGTTGAACTAGTTGTTGGTTGTGTGGTGGAAGATGGACGGACGGACGATGTCGTCTTCCTCTTCTCTGTTTTTTTTTCTATCTTTTCAGTGGTTGCTTTCCGTGGTGAATCAATGGCTAGTTCACAATGTCGTTGTTCTTGTGTTTCTATTGTTGTTGTCGTTAGTCTTGTTGTTGTCTACGAATTTTTCCTTTCTTTGTCTGTTTGGCTTTTTCCACAGTTTTCTTCTTCTTCTCTGTAATATTGCCAACAAATTGGAGACAATTTTCCTTAGCAAATAGGCCTCTGGCAAATTTTCAATATTTCTCCCTTGGCCAGCAATATTTTTCCAATATTTTCAGTAAATTTGGAACCAAAATTTGTTGTCGATAATTTTTTTCTTCTTATTTTTCTTTGCTTTTTTGTTGGACACAATGACTGGGAATGATTACGCCGTCAGAGTATTTTTCATGGAATACCCAACTGATTCAGATACCATGGTTCATGATTTGTTTTGATTACTGGTTATCGATTATTGAGTATAAGGTACCTTTATTTTAAGGAAATGGTTATAAAAGACAATTGCCAATGAAAAAGGAACACAAAATAAAATGGGCGTTGTAAATATTTACGAATTAGCAGGGAGAAGTAGAATAAGGCGATGAACCATGGAACAATGAACCAATGAACAGCTGTTACCACATTAGGGATAACTAGATCGACTTTTGACTAAACTATATAATCGATTATATTAAAATCGAAATATGAAATGACTGTTAAAATTAGGAAAACTAATTGCAATTTAAAAGAAAATTTTCAACTTTACATAAGGCGTTGGTTTTGTAAAAATATTTTTTTTTTCAATTTTCCTTAGGCGGGGGATTTTTTTATAAAAATCTTCGCCTTCTGTAAGGCCTTACAAAATATTTTTAAAAAATCCACGCTTTCTGTAACGCCTAAAAATGTTCCTTGAGAGGATATATACGGCGTGTTTGACCGGATCTTTGGAACGAGGCAAAAGTTACTTACATTCCCAAAGCGGGAAACACAAGCCACTCTGCACCAAAGGACTATAGACCATCATCAATCATCATTTCTCCTCAAGACTCTCGAAAGACTGATCGACCTGGAAATTACGAGTCGTATAGACACCACCTCTCTTAGCAACTTACAACACGCATACATAAAAGGCAAGTCTGTAGAATCTGCTCTACACGAGGTGGTAGGTTACATTGAGTGGAATATGGAAAATTCAAATTTTACGTTGGCCGCCTTCCTAGATATAGAGGGAGCCTTTAACAACGTTAAACTTGAATCCATAAACCATTCACTTAAAGAAGTTGGCATTCCTGATACCCTTACGTATTGGATAGATAAAATGCTAAACAGCTGAATGAAAAATTCAAGTGTGGGGGATACAAAAATCAGGACGTGGTGATATTGATTTCCGGAAAATTTCCGTCAACAATCTCGGAGCTTATGCAAAGAGCCTTACTGACGCGTTGGGCCAGGGCGAACGGGCTTGGTGTAAATCCAACAATGTTCACTAGGAAATGTAATCACGGCGTTTTTTGCTGATTGCACTCTATGCAAAAACTCCATTGAGAAAAGCTGGGGGTTAAAACCATCGACTATACACTGGTTGTATAAGGCCCATCCTATCATATGGCTCTCTTGTGTGGTGGAACTGTCTGCGCCACAAGTCGACATCCAGTAAATTAGATAAGGTACAAAAAGCCGCCTCGATTTTAGTCACAGGAGCCATGAGGAGTACGCCACAAGCAGCTCTGAACGCAATGCTGAATTTTAAGCCTCTGAGTCTCAGAATTAAGTGTTAGGCCGCTCGTAGCGCCCTAAGGCTGCATGAACAAAACCTTTGGCAAAGTTGTACCTTTGGGCATGTAGTAGAAACGACTGGAACCGAAGCAACGGTCTGGCCTTCTATACAGACGGATCTGAGATGGAAGAAGGTACAGAGACGGGCGTCTACTGTGAAAGGCTAGGCCTTGAGTTAACCTACAAGCTGGATTGCAACTGTAGTGTTTTCCAAGCTGAAATCTTCGCGGTTTGGAATGCAGTGGAATTGACAAAAAGTCTGGGTGCAGAGGTAGTTGAAGAGACTCTTAAAGCCATCAAATCTTGTTATATCTAATCCGAGGCCGCCATCAAGTGTAAAACAGCTTTGGAATAATTTATTTACATCTATCGGCTGTGTTGGGTACCAGAACATCTTGGGTAATGAAAGAGCAGACGAACTAGCTAGACGAGGATCTTAATCCACAGATCTAGCAATTTATGACTCAATCAAACCACCCATATGTCATCTTTACCGGAATTTTGAGGCGTTCTTCGATGAAAAAGCCCATGAACTTTGGCACAACGAATATAGGTGTAACGCATGATGCAATAATAAGGTGATGTATCAAAACAAAAACCTTTGTTTTTGTCACGATTATTTGTCAAATTTTTCCATATAATATTTCAAATGGTTGGCAACACTGCACATCGAATTCAAGTAGAAATTACCCACTTTGACAGTTAATCAAGACATCAGCTGCGCTAAATGGACTACCTATTTATTGTGCCATGGTTTAACGTTTCAAGATCCTGGCTTACAGGCGGCACAGACTAGTAGGTGGTCATTTTCCACCGAATCAAAACTTTTTCTCAACAACTGAACCTGCTCTAATCTACAGCATAATTCGAAACCTAACGTTGTTGGGGAAGTGCAACATTGACACGTAATATATCTTCTGTCTAATCGCTATAGCCATCGACATTATTCCAAACTTAACTTCTTATATCTTTCTGTAAGCTTCTCATCTCTCTTTATTTCTCCAATCTTCTCTCCCCTATAGATCTCTTCTTATCTCTTTTCTTCTCGTGGATGATCACAACGGACCTGACGGTCTCAGAGTGCTGTAGCCACATAAGTGACAGCACATTCCCAAAACTAACCTAAGGCCTTAAAATTTTTGGAAAATGGCTGCCTTCTGTAAGGTCTTAAAACATATTTTCGAAAAGTCCTCGCCTTCTGTCAGGCTTAAAAAATATTTAAATGTATATATATATATATATAAAACGTCTTTCCAGAACCTACAAGAATGTACAATTTTTTACTCCGATTATAGTTTTTTCTTTATGATATCGAAGCAAATAGCAAAAATTAGTAGACTCTTGCAGTAGGGGAACAGACCAAAATTATCTGTTGGCTCCATCCAAATTTTGTCATTCCCTTAATAGTATTCTATGCTTTTCTCACAGTGTAAATGTGGCAACGACATTTCATTTAACAGCTGTTATCGAAATTACCGATAAGTCATTTCTCGATTACCTGTTTCCCTTTAGTCTGCAGTTGTCGATCTACATAGCCCTTAGCAGAAAGACGAAAGAGAGTTTGCTTTTTCGTTTTAATTTCATTTCTTGTGGTAAATATTGCCAATTTTTTAATAAATTTCCAATAATTAATAAAATATAACAACGAAATCAACAACTTCGCCTAAAATATAATTAATGTTTGTGTAAACTGTGAAGATTTGTGTGAAAACGTCATTTTTGATCGAAGAGAGTCACATATGTAAAATGTCAGTCTGTCCGCCCCGGTTAAATTGATTCGCTGCCCAATGTAAACAATAAACAAATGTGGGGATGTGTAATGCGGTAGCTGCCGCAGCAGCATTCAATGGCTGACTAGCTGGCATTGGCATTGACTATGTGCTTGGCAATGGAAAATTACCCTACAATTGGGTGAAGATTGTGAAACTGGTTTTCCATTACATATATTTGGGTGCAATGTCAATTGAAATGGTATTGATTGATTGTTGTTGTTTTTAATTTATGTATATTGAATGTTGTTAATTAATTACACATTACAGATTTGCATATGATGGTTAAGGAGATGTAGTGTGGATAGTTGGAAGCAAAACACTGTGGGAAGACAAATTTGAGCTTAAGTATATTTTAAGGCCCATAAGTAGTCCTAGGGGTCCTGATTACAACGATATCGTTTTTTTATCTTGTGGGACTTCACATTTCGGCTTAACTATAGTTTAGTAAAAACGATCAGATTTTTCTGAAAAATTTTCCAGAGGTAGGTATTTATACCCTTCACCACTCTGTGGTACAGGGTATTATGTCTTTGTGCATATGTTTGTAACAGGAAAAAGGAATCGAGATAGACCCATGGTTCCTTTTGAGAATATGCATAGAATCACTTTCTGAGTCGATTTATGCATGTCCGTCCGTCCGTCTGTAGATGTTAAATTGTAAACAAAGTGCAGGTCGCATTTATGATCCGATTTGGATGAAATTTGGCACAAGTCACTTATTCGGCCCAAGGACGAACCCTATTGAAATTGGAAAAAATCGGTTCAGATTTAGATATAGCTCCCATATATATATTTAACCGATTTAATGTAAACGGTCCCTATATATCTTTCGATTTGCACGAAATTTGGTACAGCCTAATCATTTAGGTCTAGAATGATGTCTGCCAATTTTCATGAAAATCGGTCCAGATTTAGATATAGCTCCCATATATAGTTTCGTCCGATTTCATGTAAATGGTGCACCAAAGTCTCTATATATCCTTCGATTTGCACTAAATTAGGTATAACGTACTTAATTTGAGCCTAGAATGATGTCTGCCAAGTTTCGTAAAAATCGGTCCAGATTTAGATATAGCTCCCATATATAGTTTCGTCCGATTTTATGTAAATGGTGCACCAAAGTCCCTATATATCGTTCAATTTGCACGAAATTTGGCACAGCGTAATGAATTAAGCCTAGAATGATGTCTGCCAAGTTTCCTGAAAATCGGTCCAGATTTAGATATAGCTCCCATATATATTTTCGTCCGATTTTATGTAAATGGTGCACCAAAGTCCCTATATATCTTTCGATTTGCAAGAAATTTGGCAAAACGTACTTAATTGAGCTTAGAGTGATGTCTGCCAAGTTTCGTGAAAATCGGTCCAGATTTAGATATAGCTCCCATATATAGTTTCGTCCGATTTTATGTAAGTGATGCACCAAAGTCCCTATATATATTTCGATTTGCACGAAATTTGGCATAACGTGCTTAATAGAGCCTAGAGTGCTTTATGCCAAGTTTCCTGGAATGATGTGTGCTGAGTTTCGTGAAAATCGGTTCAGATTAAGATATATATATATATATATTTCCGTCAGATTTAATGTAAATAATGTACCAAAGTTCTAATATTGCATAGATCCATTGATTTTAAGTAATTGACACACCAAGGAACCAATATATGATTGAATGAACAAAACGTACTGAAATTAGTATAACCCAACCTGTGAAAAGTTTCGTTGAAATCGGTTCAAATTTGGATATAGATTCCACATATATTTTCATCTAAGGTAATTGGTGCTTTTAAGACCCTATATATCTTTGCACGAAATTTAGCATAGCGTGCTGAATTGCGTCTATAATAATGTGTGCCAAGTTTCATGAAAATCGGTTCAGATGTATATAAAGCTCCCATATATATATATATATATATATATATAGTCGCCCGATTTTAGGTAAATGCACCAAAGTCTTTGAAAATCATTCCATTTGCACGAAATTTGTCATAGCGTACTGAATTAAGTTTAGAATGACGTGAGCTAAATTTCGTGAAAATCGGTTCAGATTTAAATGTAGCTCCCATATATATTTTCGTCCGGTTTTATGTAATTGGTGCATCGATAGGATACATCTTAGGATACATCTGTTGAATATACCCAAAGTGATGAAGGGTATCATATAGTCGGCCCAGTCCGACTTTACTACTTTCCTTACTGGTTTCTTGTGAAAATCCGCATTTATGCAGATGTGTGCCTTCAAATCCCGCTGGCACCATGTACCATTTGGAGCGTTTGAAGTCCCGATTGAAAAAATGTCATTGCTTTGTCGGATAACTCTCTACTCTCCTATATACCTATATGGAGATTATTCACGTATCCAATGTTGGCATCAATCCATAAGATACAACTACCCTTATTTAAAGGAGATTCTGTCGCGTTGCGTAGCATTTGTCCGTAGTACATAGTCAGATGACCCTCTCAGTATATTAAATCGTTTGTGTCTATATCTACATAACTATTATCCTTTGACGTTATCTAGCTATTTCCTAGTATACCTATAAATTTAGCATTGAGGAGAACAATCACCGAAAAATGGGACATAATTAAGGAATACACAAAAATACCATAGGAAGTATTGACTCTTTGTATGAAAGACTCAAAATATTTCATATATGATGATAAGGTGTACGAACAGCGAAAAGGACTTCCAATGGGCTTTCCAGCATAACCGATTATTGCAGATATAGTAATGGAGGAGTTATTGGACGCTTCAATGGAGAAATTGCCAAATAAACCAAAATAAGTTACAAAATATGTAGAGGATATACTTTGCATAGTGAAAAGAACATGTGCAATTTACGCAGGAATTGGAGGAAAAGCCAAAAATTACCATATCTTGACGACATAATAATTCGACAAGTCCAAAAACTAACAATAGATTGGTACCAAAAGCACACCGCATCTGAACGATTAATTCACTTTTACGCTAAGCATCATAGACGAATAAAAATAAATACGGTCACAAATTTCATCAACAGAGTACTTAATATAAGCGGCGAACAATTCCACCTAAAGAACAAAGGAAGGATACGCAATATACTGACGCAATTTCCCACAGAGAACTATTGACGAACTACTAAAAACATCCAAGCACAAGAACAAGAAAAGAAGAGGGAAAATCATACAAAACATTGACTTATATACCTGGACTGCCTGAGAGATTGCGTAATTTGAATATTTATGACAAGAATAATTATAAATTACCCTTAAAACCTAAGAATACCGTCAAACAAAATCAGAAAGGAAGACAAGTGCAATGTAGTATATAAGATAAAAGGTAATGGGGACAAATCCAACGTATGCCAAAAGGTATATGTTGGTACAACAAAAACTAAACTTAAGACGAGACTTTCTGAACATAAGTCAGATCAAAACTCAGACAAACCTTTAGAGCAAAAAAGAGCGCTTGCGGCACATTGCACAAAAACTGGACATACGCCGAATTTTAAAGACGTAGACATATTGACACAGAAAATAATTATAAACGACGGTTCACCCTAGAAATGTTAAACATAATAATTGTACCTAACAATAAGAGACTTCATTCTCATTGATAAAAATCGGTTCCTTTTCGTAAAATTTGTGTAATATAATTACGTTTATATCTCTTTAAATACTTGTATGTTTTTGTAGTATTTCCCTGAAGATGAATTATAAATAATATTGAAGATGCTGTTAGCTAATTTTTAACAATACAAAAAATTAGGTCATCGTATTCATTATTTCAAACATGTACTTCGATCATCAACAAAGAACCTGTTTTAGCAAGTCAATTTTTTATTTTATTAATTAATTTTTTATTTTTTAATTATTTTTTTTTTATTCGTATCTTCAATTCCTATTTTTTCGCATTTTTTTTGCAATTGATATTTGTTTTTGTCAACAACCATTATCTGCTAATCAAAGGCGAATAATCCGCTCGAAGCTGGTTTATATATATATACTAGACAAAATACATATTGCCGTGATTTACGTTTTTAGCTTAGCAGAGGAGGTTATCACCAAGTGTCATAGTCGTCTGGGTACAACATACCTGAGTGCAACTATTTTTAACGTATGCATGATTTTTAATAACCAATTAAAATCCAGACAAAATTTATGAGACATAATTACTGGTTCTCGTGAAACATAAATGCAAATAAATGTCTGGTATTTTATGGCAATGAACTTCGAAGCTAGACATTTGAAATTAGCAACAGACAATGAAGGTTTAAAAAAATAAAACGTGTTTGGATAAACCTGCAACGAATCGTATTTAGAGAAAGTAAAGGCTTAATTAAAAAAATGCATATTCGAAAATGTACTTAACCCGGCTTTCTTATTCGAAATTGTATACAGCCAAGCTGAATTGAAATTTTCTTATTGGGAATTTTATTCAGTCATTCTGAATTAAAAATTTCTTATAGGAAATTGTTAAAGCAAGGCTGAATAGAAATTTTCTTATTGGAAATCGCATACAGCAAGTCTGAATAGACAATTTTCTATTGAAAATTGTATACAGTCAAGCTGAATTGAAAATTTCTAATTGGAAATTCTATACAGTCAAGCTGAATTGAAAATTTCCTATTGGAAATAGTATTCAGCCAGGCTGAATTGAAAATTTCCTATTGGAAATTCTATTCAACCAGGCTGAATTGAAAATTTCCTATTGGAAATTCTATTCAGCCAGGCTGAATTGAAAATTTCCTATTGGAAATTCTATTCAGCCAGGCTGAATTGCAGCAAGGCTGAATTGAAAACTTCCTATTGTAAATTCTATTCAGCCAGTTCGAAATCAAATTTCTTATTGGAAATTGCGTTTAGCCTTACTGAATAAAAAATGTCCAAAAATTTCCTAGACTGAATGGAAAAATTCTTGTTGGAAATTGTATGCAGCTTGCCTGCATTGAAAATTTTCAAATTGGAAATTATTTTCAGATGGTCTAAATTGAAAATTTCCTGACCTTGGAAATTCCCGGTTTCCACATACACATATCGTGTATGTGGAAGCCAGGCTGAATTGAAAATTTCCTATTGGAAATTCTATTCAGCCAGGCTGAATTGAAAGTTTCCTATTGGAAATTCTATTCAGCCAGGCTGAATTGAAAATTTCCTATTGGAAATTCTATTCAGCAAGGCTGAATTGAAAACTTCCTATTGTAAATTCTATTCAGCCAGTTCGAAATCAAATTTCTTATTGGAAATTGCGTTTAGCCTTACTGAATAAAAAATGTCCAATTGGAAACCGTATTCTTCTAGACTGAATGGAAAAATGTCTTGTTGGAAATTGTATGCAGCTTGCCTGCATTGAAAATTTTCAAATTGGAAATTATTTTCAGATGGTCTAAATTGCAATTCTATTTTCAATAATTCCACTTTATTTGACCTTGACAAAATTACTATCACCACAGACATACTTCCCGGTTTCCACATACACATATCGTATGCCTTCTAACTAATCTCAATATTTTGTCTTATCTCTTAAAAATGTGCATGAAAACACATGCTACTGACATAGAATACCTTACGAACTGTGAGTAGAGTGTGCAGCAACAACAACAACAATAGCAATACAAACAAAACATTATCATTCATTAATCGATGCACATCGACGACGTCGAAGTCGACGCCAAACGACCACGATACACTAGAACTGATTACTGTGAATATCGTTAATACGACCCACCTATGGGTGCATGGGAACGACTAGCGGATCGTGTTATTATTTGAATCACTTAAGTCTTGGCTGGCCAACGAGGCGCATGCAAAATACTTAAAACAAGTTCGGAACGGATTATTATTAATTGTAACAATAAACAAAGGAGGCAACGAATCCATAAAAAACAAATAATTTATTCTGCGAAGTTTTTGGTTTCGTTGTGAAAAAAATATTCGAAAAAAATCTTTCAAAACGGGTCAATTTTTAAGCATTTTATTTAATTCGACAGCATTTAACAACGCCTCAAAACGGCTAATTACGGTATTAAGGAATTATCGCAACGCCAAAATTGCTCTACATTGGTTTCAATATCCGCCAACAAAGGAAAAATCGAATGCCATAAAATCCACCATGCCACACAATAATCAAAATGATGACGAGATTTTAATAGCACATCCATGCTATCGTGGCCGTAGCCATTCGTCCAATGCTGTGTGTCCTGCCTATTGTGATTGTGAATTTCCCAAATCGACAATTGTGTCGGGCTATAAGGGTCACGTTCCAGATTTGGTAAAATGCCGTTGTGGTGAAGATGATCCTGCCTATCATACCATCAAATGGAATTGGTATAAATGCCCCGAATCCGATATACATTTGGATGGACCGAATGTAACATTCCATCCCACATATTCACAAGGTACTGCCATGATACGTGGTGATCAGCCGCTGGCGGCGGGTATGATGCATTTTTGGGAAATGAGAATACTGACGGCGCTGTCCGGAACTGATGTGGTGAGTAGAAAAAATTAAATAAATTTTTTTTGGGAAATTATTCAGAATTTCCAATTGGAATTTTGTGTTTAGCCTTACTGAATCGAATTTCCAATAGTAATATTTTAATTGAGGCTGGCTGAATAGAATTTTTAATAGGAAATTTTTGATACGGCCTTGCTGAATAGAATTTCCAATAGGAAATTTTCGATTCAGCTTGACTGAATAGAATTTCCAATAGGAAATTTTCCATTCAGCCTGGCTGAATAGAATTTCCAATAAGAAATTTTCCATTCAGCCTGGCTGAATAGAATTTCCAATAGAAAATTTTCAATTCAGCCTGGCTGAATGGAAATTTTTCTCAAGTTGTTATGTGAGTGTGTTGATTAAATGTAAATAAAATGCAAATCTTAAATAACAACATTTATCTAAATCAGTTTTGACAACAAAAACACTTTACAATTTATTAGTAAACACTTAAGTATTCATATTGTTTATTTATTTGCCCCATTATTTTCCAAAGATAACAAAAACAACTTTATCTTGTTTACATAGGGTTTTTGTATTTGTTCGCTAGTTGTGAGAATTGCTCGGCTAGTAGCTAATATATATTGAAAACGTATATTTAGCTAAGCTGAATTAAAAAATTTCTATTGAAAAGTGTATTTAGTCAAGCTGATTTGAAAATTTTCTAATGGAAACTGTATTCAGCTGAGGGAAATTGAAAATTTCTTATTAGAAATTGTATTCAGCCAAGTTGAATTGAAAAATTCCTATTGGAAATTGTATTTAGCCAAGCTGAATTGCAAATTTCCTATTGGTTATTGTATTCAGCTATGCTGAATTGAAAATTTCCGTTTGGAAATTGTATTCAGCCAAGCTGAATAGCAAATTTCTTATGGGAAATTTTATTCAGCTTAGCTGAATTGAAAATTTCCTATTGGAAATCGTATTCAACTAAGCTGAATTGAAAATTTCCTATTGGAAATCGTATTCAACTAAGCTGAATTGAAAATTATCTATTGAAATTCGATTATAGATGGACGAAATGGAAAATTTCCTATTGGAAAGTATATTCAGCTAAGCTGAATTGAAGTTTCCTTTTCGATATTATATTTAGGGTAGGTTAAATTCAAAATTTCGTATTGGTAATTCTATTCAGCCCAGCTGAATTGAAAAATTCCTATTGGAAATGGTATTCATTGACTTCAAGGTACGTTTTATTATCATTTCAAGGTTGAGAAATAACCATTCAAACAATTCCAATTCCAAACAAAATCAATTGCAATTTATTTGCAATAAATATTATTGTTTTCAGCTTAATAAACAAGAATATAATAAAAATTTGTAATAAAAAATTCTATACCATATGGAATTCTTATCTCGTAGACAATACTTCAAAGATGATTTCATCTTGGTAGCAGCAGATGTATATTGAATGTCAACGATTTAGATGCAGGCACACTTAGTAACGTAGGCATATTTTTTTTGGAAAATTAAGGCGAAGACCTTCCTATTCTCAATTTCTCAGAAATTGTCTTGAAACTATAATAAAAATGTATTTAATTCGATTTTCTATTTGTAATCGAGCGTTACTATGCCCATTCAGCTTGTAGAATTGCCTGGAAGTGATAAGAAAAATCATTGGATCGTAGGAAATACATTGTTTCTTCTTACATGCTCTAGAAAATGAATATAAAATTGAAAAATATTGAAATGAATGAAATATAGGCCAATGGTCGTCATAAATTAATGTGGCCATACTTAATGGCTGGCTGACAACAGGTTTCAATTGGAAAATTTTATTTAACTGGGCTGAATAAGGGTTTTAACGGCGAAATAAGCAGTTTCCAATTGGAAATTTTCAATTCAGCCTGGCTGAATAGAATTTCGAATAGGAAATTTTCAATTTAGCATGGCTGAATAGAATTTCCAATAGGAAATTTTCAATTCAGCCCGGCTGAATTTCCAATAAGAAATTTTCTATGCAGTCTGGCATAATAGAATTTTCAATAGTTGGATTTCCAATAGGAAATTTTCAATTCAGCCTGGCTGAATAGAATTTCCAATTGGAAATTTTTATTTTTCCCAATAGGAAATTTTCAATTTAGCCTGGCTGAATAGAATTTCCAATTGGAAATTTTTATTTCGGTCTGGTTGAATAGAATTCCCAATAGGAAATTTTCAATTTAGCCTGGCTGAATAGAATTTCCAATAGGAAATTTTCGCTTCAGTCTGTCTGAATAGAATTTCCAATGGGAAATTTGTAATTTCGGCTGGTTGAATAGTATTTCCAATAGGAAATTTTCAATTCAGCCTGGCTGAATAGAATTTCCAATAGGAAGTTTTCAGTTTTCAGCCTGGCTGAATAGAATTTCCAATAGGAAATTTTCAATTCAGCCTTGTTGAATAGAATTTCCAATAGGAAAATTTCGATTTTTTATAAAAAATCTTTAATTTTGCCCAGCTGAATTGCAGTTTTGATAGCAAATCTATGGGATTTTTGCTGAATAAAATTTTAATTTGTTTAACAAACATAATAACAAAAAAATTTTTTCTCCTCCCACCCCCTCCTGTGATCTAACTGCATATCAACAAATCGGACACACTCATAAATAAAAGAAATGATTACTTTTTTTGTTTTTATAACTATTGCTGTTGTTCATGACTTTGGTACCTTCATAGGGGTACCCTTGACAATGACAACAACAACAACAAACTGTCAGCCACAATTTCCAGTCCAGTGTACTCGTATTACAAGTCAGGAACACGCAGCCAGCGAGTGATCACTTTAAGTGAATGCCGCTTTTGGTTTGTGTGTCGTAGCCGTGTAATCACGTTAATGCAGCTGATATTGGATAGGTGGAACCCCACGAAAATTCATGGAAGATGTAACTGGCTGTTCGGATATCATGTACATAGCCATGATTTTTTTTGCAATTATGTAAAATATTTTTTATGGCGCCCATAAAAAACTCTCTTAATTTTTTACGTTTTAAAAAAATTGTTTTAAAATAATTAATAAAACAACTATTTTAAGCGGGACGCTTCACCATTATCACAGCGAGCGGTTGAGTGATGTCATCCACAGAAACTATCCAACAATGGGCAGTGGTATTCGACGTTGGCGTTTTCCGTTTTGTTTTGATCTTGCATTCGTTTCCCAGGCGGCGCCAGACTGACTGAATTTCTGTGGCGCTTAATTAAATATTTGGCACAATTTGTTAAGAGCGATCAAAATCGGAATATAAATGACGCCGCATACGTCATCATGTGTCACGTTAAATGGCAGTGTGAACTATTCACAAAAATTCAATGAATTTAATTGGCATGATGCGATCGCACATAAATAAAATCTATTTTCTTCAATGAAAATTTTGCTGAATGGGAAAATTACAGCATTTAGTTTTATAAAACAAAAAGGAATTGGAATTTGGCTAAATACAATTGGAAATTCGCTAAATACAAAATTTCCTATTGGAAAATATGTTCTGCTAGGCTGAATTGGAAATTTCCTATTGGTAATTCTATGCAGCCGAAATAAAAAGAAAATTTCCTATTGGAAATTCTATTCAGCCAAGCTATGAAATAAATTCCCTATTGGAAATTGTATTCAGCCAGCCTTAATCGGTAATTTCCTATTGGAAATTATTTTCAGCCAGCCTTAATCGATAATTTCCTATTGGAAATTCTATTCATCAAGTGTGTTCAACTAGGCTCTATAGAAAATTTCCATTTGGAATTCTATTGCGCCGGTCCAAATATTGAATTTCTTATAAGAAATTTCCTATTGGAAATTCTATTCAGTCAAGCTAAATAATAAATTTACGATTGGAAATGCTATTCAGCCAGGCTAAATAGAAAATTTCCTATTAGAAATTCTATTCCGCCAGTCTGAATAAAAAATTTTCTATTTGGAAAATAAATTCAGCCAGACTAAATTGAAAATTTCCACATGGAAATTCTATTCAGTCAGCCAACATCGGATATTTCTTATTGGGAATTCTATTCAGCAGGCCTAAATCGGAAATTTCCTATTGGAAATTATATTTAGCCAGGCTAAATTGAAAATTTCCACTTAGAAATTCTATTCAGCCAGCACAAATCGGAAATTTCCTATTGGAAATTCTATTCAGCTAGTCTAAATCGGAAATTGTATATTAGAAAATATATTCGCCCAGTCTATGTAACAAATTTCTAATTATAAATTATTTTTAGAGAGGATGAATACAAAATTTCATATTGTAAATTAATAACTGTAACATTTCTTATTATAAACTATATTTAGCTGGACTAAATTACATAAATTCTTATTGGAAAAACTATTCAATAGCAAATTTACTATTAGAGGAAAAAAATTTCTAATATAAAATCTTCTGTTCAGCCTAGCTGAATTCAATTTCCAATTGGAAACTTTTTATTCAACCAGACTGAAAAAAAAATTTTTCAATTCGAAATTCTATTCCATTTCCATTTGAAACCTCATTTTTAAAGGTAATTTTTATTTTCCAACTTTCTTACCTAAGTTCTTCTCTCTCTTTTTCTTCCAGATGTTCGGTGTGGGTACGGATAAAGTCGACTTGACACAATTCAAATTCCATTTCGTTTCGGCCTTGGGCACAAATGCCCAATCGTGGGGTTTCTCTTACGAAGGGAAAGTTCATCACAATGGCCATCAACTGCCATATGGGCAAAAATTCTCTCAGGGTTGCATTGTGGGTGTTCTCCTAGATCGAACACGAGGCCAATTGGAATTCTTTTTGAATCGTCGTTCCCTAGGGGTGGCCTTCAATAACATACCTACCGATCCCAGTGTTAAATTATATCCCATGATATGTTCCACAGCAGCCAAATCATCGATACGTCTAATAAATGCCACATCCCAAGCGGAATGCTTACAGCTGAGAGCTTTTCGTGCGGTATCCAAACAACCCAAAGCCATGGAAGAACTAAGACAGTTACCGGGTCTAAAGACCATTATGAATGATTATTGGTTTTTGGCACCTCCGGTGCGTTATTCTCAGCAGAGTAAAGACTCGGAATTCGATATACTCGATGAGGCAGTGTTGTCGAAAAATCGCCGGGGACGTAAACAGAAGTATAAAGGTAAGGATTGGAGGTTAGGGTCGTTTTGTAAAAATTCTAACAAATACCCTCTGTTTTTTTCTTCCAGATGACGACATTGATGTCAATGATCTCTACAGCAATGCCCATAAAATTGCCTTGCGCCATCACCGCTCGGATAGTGATGATGAACCTGCCCTTAATGAGTATTTTGATGAATATTTCCATTATCTATTCTAAGCGAAGGGCGGGAAGCGAAGTGTTGTATTATTTTCAACATGTTTTACGTCTCCTGACATTGTATGGACCATTGAATTGTGTTCATTTATGTTTGTAAATTGAATAATTTTTGATTTTAGTCATTAAAAAAAAAATAAGTCATTGTTAAGATATTTCTTCCATTCACATAGCTAGTCTTAAGAAGTTCTAAGTTTAAATAAAAAATTAACAATCATATGAGATTTAGAAGATTTTTAAATGTTTACCCACCAGAAGGTTTGGACCGAAGGTTGTCATATTCGAGCTTGATTTAAGTTACGATGTGCAAAAAATTTTTAAAGAAAATTTCCTATAATTGCAGTAATAATAAAATTAGGTTATTTTCGGGGTTTTATGTTATAGGTACGGATTACTTATATATTATATTACTTATATACTTATATATATATATATATATATATATACTTATATTCGGTGACTTATAGTGAAATTTTATGGACAACATTTCTTCCATTGGTAGCATTCCCCTAAAATGTAAAATTTTGCTAGAAATCACATCCAATTGGAAAATATTAAAAAATAACACTAAAATAACCAAATTTGTTCATTGATGTTTCAGGGTCTTGTATAACAGCTACAACTTTCTTATGTTCAGTGACTTATAGTGAAACTTTATGGAGAATATTTTTTCCATTGGTACCATTCCCCTAAAATGTAGAATTTTGCAAGAAATCACCTCCAATTGGAAAATATTAAAAAATAACCTCAAAAAAACTCTATTTTCTATAACCCAATTTGTTTACTGTTGTTTCCGGGTTTTATATTATAGCTAGGTGTTTCTCATGTTCGGTGACTTATAGTGCAATTGTATGGAGAATATTTCTTTCATTGGTATCAAACCCCTAAAATGTATTTTATGACAAAAAAATCACCTTCAGTGGAAAAATACTAAAAACTAACTCCAAAAATAACCTATTTTCTATAACCCAATTTGTTTACTGATATTTCTGGGTTTAATATTATACCTAAGTGTTTCTATGTTCGGTGGTTTATAGTGAAATTTTATGGAGAATATTTCTTCCATTAGTACCATACCCATAAAATGTATTCTATAGCAAGAAACAACTCCATGTTAAAAATACTAAAAACAATCCCAAAATAACCTAATTTCTACAAACCCAATTACTTTACTGATATTTCCGGGTTTTATATTATAGCTAGGTGTTTCACATGTTCGGTGACTTATAGTTAAATTTTATGGAGAATATTTCTTCAATTGGTACCATAACCCTAAAATGTAATCTTTTGCAAGAAATCACCGCCTTTTGAAAATTACTAAAAACTAACCCCGAAAAATAACCAATTTTCTATAGCCCAATTTATTAGCTGATATTTCCCGGTTTTATATTATAGCTAGGTGTTTCTCATGTTCGGTGACTTATAATGAAATTTCATGGAGAATATTTTGTCTTTTAACAACATCCCACAAAAATCTAGAATTTTTGGAGAAATTAACAATTTTACTAAACATAACCACAAACATGTGACCATTTCTATATAACGAATTTATTTACTGATATTTCTAGGTCTAATATTACAGCTAGGGATTTCTTATGTTCGGCGATATGTAGTGGAATTTTCCGGAGAATATTTCTTCCATTGACACCAATCGTCTAAAATTAAGTTTTCCAGGACATTTGCCTCCAATTTGGAAGTAATAGCAAAATTGAAAACACTTCTTAATGGCTGCTGGTTGTTGGTAATGAAAACTATAGCATACTTTTAGGCGTCAAACAGAAACTGTAAGCAGTTTGATATTTAAATTGTAGGTAATTGTTTTTATGCACAAAATTAATGTAAAAAACATCTACAACATTAGCTGAATTGGCGTTTCCTTCAAGATTTTTAAAGTCCGCTTTCTGATTTGGCATTTTTATAGGACGTTTCAAATACAGGCGTAGCGGAATTGAGATTTCTGTGTAAAATTTTTATGTTGTCCCAGCTGAATTGTCTTTGGTGCTGGAAATTTTTACCGGATTATGAATTTTTATAGGAATTTTCAAATACAGCCCCAGCTGAATTGAATTTTCTGTGCGAATTTCTAAAGTTGGCCCAGCTGAATTGCTGTTTCTAGGGAAATTTGTAATACAGCCCCAGCTGAATTGAGGTTTCTGTGTTAATTTTGTATGTTGACCCTACTGAATAGCTATTTCTTTGTTAATTCACGCAGATTAATATTAGATTCCATGGTAAGCTTCTTGATTCAGCTTGGCTGAATTTCATTTTATAGGGGATTACATTAAATTAGCTCAGCTGAATTGAATATTCCAAAGGATGTCTTTAATTCAGCTTAGCTGAATTGAAGTTTTTGTATGGAATATGTTAATCCGCTTAGCTGAATTTGAGTTTTTCTATAAATTATCTAAATTCGGCTTAGCTAAATCGCTGTTTTTATGGAAAATTGTCAATTAAAGCTATTATTGTAGTTTCTACGAGAATTTTGTAATTCAGGTTAGCTGAATTGGATTTTTGGGGTATTCAGCTCAGCTGAATTGAATATTCCGAAGGAAATCATTAATTCAGCTTAGCTGAATTGAAGTTTTTCTACGAATTATTGTTATCAGCTTAGCGGAATTTGAGTTTTTGTACAAATTATCTTAATTCAGCTTAGCTGAATTGGAATTTTTATGGAAAATTTTAGTTTTTATAAGAATATTATAATTCAGCTTATTTAAAGTACATTTTTAATGGAGACCACATGAAATCGGCCAATTTTATTGTTTGCGGGGTTTTATCGGGTGTCATTATTATAAATTAAGAAAATATTTTAATTCAGCTTAGCTGAATTGCGGTATTTATGGAAAATTGTAAATTAAGTGAAGGATAATTGCTGTTTCTATGGGAATTTTGAAATTCAGCTTAGCTGAATTGCGGTTTTATGGAAATTTTGCAATTTTGAACTAGCCAATTTGTAGTTTCTTTAAGACTTTTGTAATTTAAAGTAGCAGAATAGTAGTTTCTATGAGAATTCTGTAATTCAGCTTAGCTGAATTGGGATTTTTATGGAAATTTGCAAATTTAAACTAGCCAAACTGTAGTTTCTATGAAAATGTTGTAATTCAGCTGAGCTGAATTGCGGGTTTTTATGGAAAATTAGGAATATAAACTTGCAGAGCTGTAGTTTCTATGGTAATTTATTAATTCAGGTTAGCTGAATTGCGTTTTTTATGGAAAATTATTAATTTAATGTAGAACAATTGTAGTTTCTGTGGAAATTTTGAAATTCAGCTCAGCTGAATTGCATTTTTTATAGAAATTTTCCAATAGACTAGCTGAATTGTAGTTTCCATCAGAATTTTGTAATTCAGCTCAGCTGAATTGCGTTTTTTATGGAAATTTGCTAATTTAGACTAGCCGATTTGTAGTTTCTATGAGAATTTTTTAATTCCGCTTAGCTGAATTGGGAGTTTTTATGGAAAATTGTCAATACAAACTTGCAAAGTTTTAGTTGCTGTGGTAATTTTGTAATTCAGCTTTGCTGAATTGTTTTTTTATGGAAAGTTTTTTAATTTAACATAGAAAAATTGTAGTTGCTATGGAAATTTTGTAAATCAGCTTAGCTGAATTGGGATTTTTTATGGAAATTTTTAATATAAAGTTGTCGAATTTGGCAATTTTTTAATCCAGCTTGTCTGAATTGAGTTTTCATAACCAATTTTCAATTTAGACCAATGAAAATGGGTTTGCTGGGTTTTAGAGGATGGCATTTGTCTATTTTAAGAGATGTGTATGAAGAGAATCGTCGGCATATATAGCTCTCTGAGTTCCATACAATGTGTCTCCACTTTTTTCTCCCTCTTTTTCTCTCAGAGCAGAGAATTGTGTTTTAAAACCTCAAACCTTCAATTCAATAGAAATAGAGAGATAGCGAAGAACGATGTGGAAGGAAAAATCAATGTAGGGATGTAGTTTGAGTTGTAGGTGGTTGTGGTATGAGTTGTAAAGCCAACCCCCATCCAGCCCGAAAGGAAACACAAAAAGGAAGATGAATGATGATGTTGATGGTGACAACAACAATAGAGAAAAATATTTTTGTGTGGAGGAAAAAGAGTTTAACGGATGACTGGCAAGGCATGGGTTGCGAGGAGGTTTGGGCCAAAAGGATGTTGAACTTTGACTGTTTGCGAAAAAGGGAAGAGTGTGAGAAGATGGTGCGGAATGTTACGTCGTAGTATGACGGTGCTATGCAAAGGTGCATTGGCCTGCATTCTAAGCATTGACTGACTGCAAGAGGCCATTTCATCGCAAAGAGTGAAAGGTAGAGAGTTGCAATTTTATGCAAAGTGGTTAATGGAATGGCTAGGAGAGGGAGGAGGAAGAGGAGAGGGAGGGGAAGGAGGGTAGAGTGGAGGATTTTGTGTTAGAAAGTTGACTCAATTTTGTGTCGAACAATACGCCATTCGGATGCCTTTGCAATAGCGTGGCCTTCAGAGGTGTTGCATTGTATAGAAATGCGGAACTGTGTTAACTTCGTCACTTGGGCCAAGGGTTCATAATGGTGGTTGTTGGGCCAAGGGTTCGTGGTGGTTGCTATGATCTCTCATCGTCCGTCTAATAGTGATGGTGGTGTTGTTGCATTCAAAGCAAATGTGGCGGAATGTGTCTCCAGTTGCATGCTGTTGCTGCTGACACTGATGATGATGATGAAGGTGTTGTGGGTGAGGATGTTGGTTGGCACTTGTAAGGCTCCTGCTGCTGCTGCGGCTGTCATTGAAAAGCCTGTGCAAGTGCAAGGACATGCACTTAACGTCATTGCGCCACGGCCATAAATGGCTGCACAAAAAACAAGGGAGGCCAACAGCTGCCTCCCACGTTCGATGCAGGCCATCGAAGCTGCACAGGCAGTGGCCCAGCTTTTTTGTTCAGCATCGTCGTGACCATCCACATCATTCGTGGTTATTTTTGCGCCAAAAAGGAGTAAGTTTTTCTACCTAGAATTGTGTGAAGAGTTCCTGCCATATAG